GTAGGAGTCCATAAGGGCGATGTCGAGGATTCTTGGATCTTGAACAGATGTCGCAGGAGAGGACAAAATCTTTCACATCCTTCCACATTTGGGGCCACCAAAAATCTCGAGAAATAAGCTCCAAGGTCTTGTTGAATCCAAAATGTCCCGCAGCTAAAAAATCGTGGCGAGATTGAAGAACTCGGAGTCGTGCTGGTCCTTTTGGGATATATAACCGCTCTTCAAAGTGTAAAAGATCTCCCTCCACCTGGAACTTGTCGTCATTGGCACGCTGCTTAATATCAATGGCTACTGAATCTTCAATGGTTACGGCACGTACCTGATTCAGGAAGTCAGCATCAATTGGCATAATAGTAGCGCAAAGCTGAAATTGCTTTGGCTTCAACAATGTCGTACATTGTTGATCAAACGCTGCTTCTCCAGCCTTTGGTACAAGATACGATTTCCTCGATAAGGCATCAGATAGTCCTTGCTGCTTTTCAGGTCAATAAGTGATAATAAAATCGAACCTAGATAGCAACATACTCCATCGAGCTTGACGTCGATTTAGAACTCGAGCCGACATGAAATACTCCAAATTCTCGTGATCTGTGTATACGGACACTGGATGTACAGCTCCTTCAAGAAAGTGACGCCATTCTTGGAAAGAATCCACTATAGCAAGAAGTTCCTTATCGTGGATCTCATAATTGATTTCAGCAACAGAGAACTTTCGAGAATAGAATGCAACTGGATGGAGCTTCTTGTCTTCTCCCATTTGTGAAAGTACAGCTCCCAAAGCAAAATCCGAAGCATCAATTTCTAAATAGAAGGCCTTTGTAAAGTCTGGATGTACCAAGATTAGAGCCGTAGTAAATGCGGTCTTCAGGTTTTGAAATGCCTTCTCTGCTAGAGGTCCCCATTCTAGCTTATCCTTACATGTCAACTGAGTGAGAGGAGCAGCAACTTGAGAGTAATTCTTGATAAAGATCCAATAGAAGTTGGCAAAACCAAGAAATCATTGTACGTCTCTAACCGTCTTCGGAATCTCCCAGGACACGATTGCTTCCACCTTCTTGGGGTCCATCTTCAAGCCTTCCGTAGTCGTAACGAACCCCAAAAACTCCATCTCTATTTGGTGAAATAAACACTTCTCCAACTTGGCATATAGTCCTCGCTCGCGAAGTTTCTCCAATACCAAACGAACATGTTTTTCATGCTCTTCCTCATTTTTGGAGAATATCAAAATATCATCCAAATAGATGACAACAAAATTATCAAGGTACTCTCGGAAAATGTCATTCATCATATGTTGAAAGACCGCTGGAGCGTTGGTAAGACCAAAGGGCATGACATTATATTCAAAATGGCCATACCTTGTACGGAACGCTATCTTCCACTCATCTCCTTCCTTGATTCGTACGAGGTTGTAAGCTCCCCTTAGATCAATTTTTGTAAAGATCCTTGCACGTCCAAGTTGTTCTAAGAGACCAAAAATCAAGGGTAACGGGTAACGATTCTTCTTTGTTACCTTGTTGAGGCCTCGATAGTCCACGCACATCCGCAACGAGCCATCTTTCTTCTTCACAAATAAGATGGGTGCTCCAGCTGACGATTTTGAATGACGGATGAAGTTCTTGGCTAGATTCTCGTCGATGTACTTCCGCAACTCCGCCAACTCCATCTACGATAGATTGTAGATTGGGCCAAAATGCGATTGTGCTCCTTCTTGTAAGTCTATGGCGTAATCATATGGTCTGTGTTTCGGTAGCATGTCGGCATTTTTCTTTTGAAACACGTCTTTAAAATCCTTATATTGCTCCGGTATACTTGCTGTCGAGATCTTCTCCCCGGTAGTTGGAGCCGCATAAATGACAAACGGTGTGCCTCCCTTGGACAATCTTATAAATGCTCTTGCTCCAATAAATAAGGATTTCTCTATTCGGGGTTTTCTACTAGGCTTGCTCTTGGGTGGTTTTGTGGGAAGGGTCATCTTCCGCAACTTCCAATCTATGGATGGGTTATGCTTTTCCAACTAGGAAAGACCAAGAATAACAAGATTTGATGGGGTTCTAATAATATTGAAAATAATATGACTACTATGGTCCTTAAACATCACTTCTATAGGTTCTGATTCATGGGTGACACTACGAGACAATAAAGGTCGTCCATCTATGACCTCAACGTGGACAGGTTTGGATTTTTGTACTTAAGGGATCTTATGACGCTTTACAAATTCTTCGTCTAAGAAACAAGAAGATGCTCCTGAATCTAATAATGCTAAGGTTCTCAGTTTCTGAGGGCCAATAAGCAAAGGGATTGTAAAACAAAGGGCAGGTTGAGCTGAAAGAAAGGAACCTGGATGTTGTTGCGATATTTCACTTTCTAGCCGCACGGTTCCTATTGTGGCCGGGCATCCTCGTTTTCCTAAATAAACGCGCCCCTAGTCTTGATAATATGTCGATTTTGCTTCTTGGGGCAGTTTCCAACTTTGTGGCCTTCTTCACCGCAATACAAGCATAGACCTTCTTCCATACGCCGCTCTTTTTCTTCTAGAGTAAGAGATTTGACACGTACCGCATCAATTTGCATGTCTTCTACCTCTGAATGTGAATTCACGCTGCTTGCCGACATAGTTGGGATGTGGCGAACCGTATGTTGTCTTGAACGTTGGTCTTGGCGACGTTGGAATAGGCGATTATCACACTTCACAGCTTGGCTAATAGCTTCGCTGAGCGTTTGCGGATCAGGAAGAGTTAACAGCAAATCCTTCACATCGTCCCTTAAAACCCCAATAGAATTGACTCATCAACGCTTCTTCGTCCCAATTGATGTCGCATGCTAATTGCCTGAAATCCGATGCATAGACTGATGTAGAACGCATCCCTTGTCGTAGTGACCGGATCTTTGTTGTAGCCCATCGAACCTTGTCGTGTTCACCAAATGCTTCCGCAAATGCCTCCAAAAAGGTTTCAAAGTTGTTTAGTATGGAAGATCGTTTCTCGAATAAAGGAGCAAACCATGATAGAGCTTGTCCTGTAAGTAAGGTTCCAACAAGCCCAACATGTGACTCCTCCGTTGGATAGCGTTCGGGCTGTAAAACTGCTATCAACTTGATTTGGTTGACGAATCCTCAAAACTTGGAACGTGTACCATCGAACTTGTCCGGAAGGCTAACTCGGGGTTCGTTATGTTGTAGAACCAGCGGTGCTTGTCGAACCTGAGGTAAAGCTGTTTCTCCAAGTGTAGAAGTTTGAGGCTGGTGCAACCTAGATTGTGCCATCCCAGATGTTCCATCATTATGAAGCCTTGCCATGACTCCTTCAATCTTTGCAATTCTTTGCGATAACGTAGCGAGGGCATTCATGATAGCATCTAACTTGGACTCTGAACTTTCCGTCATATTAATGTCTTGGCCCCCGACCATTCTAAGAGAAGGATAGAAATGACTCTACAAGAAGACAATATTGGTTTAAAGGAGGGTACTCCGCAACCTCTAAAATGCTTTAAGAGCTTCAAGAAAAGGGATAATCTACTCTCTCCAAGAAGAATAAGACTCCAATATTGTAACAAAAGAAGTATCAGTTTAGAGGAGGATAATCCACAACCTCTAAAGTGCTAGTACACTTCCAAGCAGAGAGGTAATCCACACTTTAACAAAGAAGAAACTAGCTCTGATATCTGAGGTGAGTGAAGTCTCGACAAACAGTCACTGACACAGAATACAGACTTGATATCTACCAAGAAGTTCAAGAAGAATTGGCAAGAACTAGATTAATCAGATGAATACAAGAACAACACCAGAGAGGTGAGCTAGAGCTCCAAGAGATATGTTGTCGAGACTGAAGAACTCTTCAGCCTTGATTCCAATATATATTCCTATTTAAGAAGCTTCTCAAGCAACTTCTACCAACTAGGAAGCTTCTAGAAGGTTTCAGAGACTTGCTTCTAGAAGGTTCTAAGAACTATGTCCCTAACATCTTCTACCAACTAAAAAGCTTCTAGAAGATTCCAGAGACTTGCTTCTAGAAGGTTCTAGAAGCTTGTCTCTAAAAGGTTCTAGAAACTTGTCTCTAGAAGGTTCTAAGGACTATGTCTCTAACAGGAGCTTCTAAGAAGCTGCCATAGAAGATATTATAAAATTAATTTACTTTTACTTCTATATACTTCTACCTATTTATATAGATAATTATTGATTTACATGCACATGTCTTTGACACTTTCATGTGAACATTATTTAGAAATGAAAACATTGGTTGCTTCATTTGTACAATCATAAATTCCATGCTCTAAACCTCCAACATGAACTTCACTCAAGGCACTATCAAGAACGATTATATATATTTGATGATATACAAAAAAAGTTAGACTTGCAAAAATTTGTTCATAGAACGTCTTAAGCTGAATTATATTGCCTTTCAAATTCAAAAACTAAAGCATTTTCACAGATTAAGCTAAGAATTTCATTACTATTTTGAGCCATAAGGTAAAGGTAGTGAATGTTTAGAGTATTAGTTGAAAAGGCAGCTTTACAATTTGATTACATGCATATCCGTGATGGTTCCTTCAAACGGTGCTCTACAACTAGCTCCATTATCTGATAGAGGCTCATGGGAAATAGTTGTGGATTTATTTCAGGTTTGATAGAGAGATCGTTTAGGTCGCAGTGGTAATTAACATGGTAGCAAGGAAGAAATGCTTTGCGGGTTAGCGAGAAACAAAACACAAATAATCCACGTAAAAATGATAGCAGAGAAGATGAAAGGCATGATAGTGAGACATTACTTCAGAGAAAACAAAATGACTCTTACCTCACAGTATCCACAAGGGCATTTTCTGAAGCCTTATATCATGGAGATAACAGTATTTCGGCAAGTAGAACCCCAATACCTGACTAAAGAATGCTAATATTCGGGTCCACAAACCCATGAAGTGACTCTAAGATTAGTAAGGATACCTTCTAAAATATTCTCATCAACTTGAAACTCATCATAGTGATGGGTGTAGCCTTGAGTAGAATCATTCTCAAAATAAACAGCGGCAAATAGAATATGTTCCAAGGAAGCATAAAAGAAGAAGGTCACGGCCTATAACTATAGTGTGAAACAGAACAATAATGATCACACAATTTTACATCTGAACAGGCGGATAAGTCCGTTTCAAGTCTATCTCGATTTCCAAAAACTAGATAAAGAGAATCAGGCACTAACCTGGTTAAGAAGATTATGCTGATTATCCTGACCCATTCAGTTTTACTAATATCGATGTCTATCAAAATGATATAAATTTAATAATCCAAAACATTCACTCCAAAGCGCTTTTAAGACAAATATATCTAGTACAGCATTACAAGCAATTGAGGAACCCGTCAATAACACTCACTTGAGCTTTCATCATCTTTAAAAATCTTGCGAGCATGCTTCAACATGATGATAATACAACCAGGATTTGATTCTTTCCAATCTATCCCTTTCCTTGTCAGGAAGCTTACCACCTGGGAATAGAACATAATTGGTCAGAATATGCATTAGTTTAGGGATCAAGAAATCCAAAAAGTGAGAGTGAAGGCCACTAGAATGGCTGAGAAAAACTTACAGCTGATTTGATTCTACCGCGCCCATCGCTACTGTGGAATCCGTATCCAGTGATGACGGTTAGTGTATGCACAGCTGAGACAGCCAAAACCTCTATCCCATCAAAAATAATTCTTTTCAGAGGTTGCTGCACACTGCACATCAGACTTGCAAAAAGAGAAAAGACCACAACAACAGGCAATAAGGAATGAATAGTTGTGATAACCACTAACCATCTAATCAACTAATCGTAAAATAGCTGAAGCATTGTCACCTAAACCTTACACAAGATGGGAGACAGCGATCGAAGGTGAAGCTTCAACACTTGTATGGCCTCAAGCACGTGCTGATTATGGAGATCTATGGTAATGTTGTTTTCAATGTTCCTATTCCTGCAATATAAAATCGAGAAATTCAGGAGTGGAGGAATTCCTCCCATGCACATAAATAATCACGACTGAAATTTTTCTCATACAAGATATAGCCTATTGGAAACCTATGCATAAAAAGTCAGAAGAGGTGATCGTGACTGTTGATGGTAGATTCCATCAGCGACAATGAAGAGAGCATAAGAATCGTTATTTTCATCCAAGGCAGGTGTTAAAAAGGAGAATAGCAGAACTGTCTTCTTGAAAGAATGTGACTTTAGAAGAACTGATATTTGACGAGGATATGCGGAGTTTAAAACATAATCTCATATAAATAATGCCTTCAAATTTCTCATTATTGCATATTCTTTTACATCAAGACTATCAACCCACCTATCGGCAAATATACGCAAGCTGGCACGTTCATCTGCTTCTTGAGCCAGCTTTTTGTGGTACTTCCCCTGGAAACATAGCAAAATAAAGAAACGAATTAGCATACAAGAATGCATAACAAACAAAAATTCTGGTCCGATTTGAAGAACACATTAATTGCAAAGGAAAATCCGTGAAGCACAGTATACCAAGTTCACGGCACACACAAGTAGTTGCTTTTCCCACTTCCTGGGATGAAATACCTAATTGACGACTACCTAACATCAAGGCCAATTTTCGTAGACCATAATGAAGGAATAAGTAAATACCTTTTCAGATAGAACAGAAGCATAACTTCGTTGTCCTCGAGAATATGCAGAAGCAGCCTGTAACCCATAATACACAAGTGAGACGTATCGAAACTGTATTTCCGCCCTTGCAACTACAGTTAGAGCCAGTATGACAGAAGTACACCACGGTAACCTTGATCGGACATGCGACCATAATCAAGTAGAATTACTGTAGGATCTCCAATGAAGAACATATCCTAAGACGGATTAAAAAGCATACCTCTCTGAAATAATTTTGCATTGTGGACCAATTTTCCTTGGCACAATGGCGATGACTATTATAATCATCGGCACCTACGTTGCCTTCTATCAAGTCCAAGCCAATGTCATAAATTAGAAAAGACAGAGAAATATACGAAAGAAATATCCTCTTTTCTGCACAGTAATACTAACCCGCTGAAATTCAAATGCCTAAAACTTATTCACATAGCGTTTACCTGCAACGGATCACCAGAATCCACGATCCTAATTGATTCTGAAGTTAGTAGACAAGACTATGAACAGCTTGAAAAAACGAGAATATGATAATGAGTGAAGATTTTCTTAGTTCCAAAAATCAACAAAATCAGACATATCGATCGCCAGTCCAGAGGAGTGGTCCAATAAGAACGAAGGCCGACACTGTGCTTACCGAAGTTATGAGAATGAATCGCTATGTTCTTCCTGACAGAATCTACTGTGCTTAATGCACCGCCTTCAACTCCAGTAGCTATCAATTTTTTTCTCCCTGGTGTATCAAGTGGTTTTATTTTCACCCACGCACCTTGTAATACACGCGGCTCAGTAGAAATAGTTTGGTTATCACTATCTTTGTGCAAAGTTTTCACAACAGGAGGTAAGACTTTGCGCTGGACCGCTTGAGGGACACTACATTCTGAACGCTCAGATGTCGGAGCAAAACCGGCACTGAAGAGAACTTGATGTGCATCTCTGTCATGAAATTAAACACAGGTGTCAATAAGTCTTGGATATAACACTCATGCGGTTATTCATCCCGTATCAATAAAACGCAGGCAGTTAAGACATCAATCAACGAGTTTATCAAGTAAACGGGAAAAAGTAATTACCTTAAAATAAAATTAGTTGTTTTCAGAACCTCCCACAAGAAGTTACTGTCGACCACTGGGAACAATCGATTCAATTGAGCAAGAATAACCTGTGTAGCACAATACCAACCGGTTGTGGACTCAAAATTAAGCCCAGTTAATGGAAAAACCGGATGAAAGATATTTAATGCTCATAACGATGGTAATTGTCACTTGCAAAGGGGCAAGCTAATAGTAACTAACATTGGTTAGAGGAAGTGTTTCATTGCTGCTCAAGTCCATCAAAGAGGTAACTGTGAATCTAGCAACTACAACAGAATCTCTATTTCAGATTTAACTTACTGTTGGTTCTTACCCTTTTCTCAGAGTGGTCAGAGTCTCCTACTTTGGCAAGTCCTTTCTGGTGGCCAGAATGCTCTGGCACCGCTTGCCCGTCCAAAAGTAAAGCATTGGAGATTTTCTCCAAATCTCCATTATGTTTCTGTTCGTAAAAGGTTGACAGCTGTAAGAATACTTCTTAACATCCACAATCCAATGACCTTGAACGGGTGGTGCCCCACAAAGCGAACAAACAGGACTTTCCAATGCGAATTACAGTCACATTTCATTCAGTATAAAGTGCTGGTGTGATTAGGTTATCGTATCCATGACAGGATGATGGTAAGAAAAATAACTGCGGCAATATCATAAGCGGTTAAGAGGGTGTCAATGACCATGATCCAGGAAAAACGACTGTCGCGACTTCTCTTATAAAATACGAAAAAAAATATCACGATCAAAGAAGAAATAGTTAATGCTTGACTTATAGAGAAAAATATGATCAATCACCTGAAAGGCCATGACCACTAGCGCAGGATCTACATCAGGAAATACTTCCATTAGGGAAAGTAATGAGTTGTCCATGGCGTCCGCCTCGGCATCAGCACTAATTGAAGATTCCTCGACGCTTGACCCTTGCTGGTCGTTACTTGAAACATGTCCTGATGTAGTTGACGCCATATTCAGCAACGTATCCAGGCTCTGCAATCCAACCGGCGCAGTTCAGAAACATGTCATGGAGGAAGAAAATATCGAGGCTATACAACACTCAACAAAAACCCAGAAAGTAAGAATCTAAGACTTTGTCTATGTGGCTCAAGTCACACACCAGAGATAATCGAGAATGTAATCGAGAAAACATACCTTTTGAGTATCACCCTGGAAAAAATCTGGGAAAGAACAAACGTAGAACGTTTAAAAATTGTTCCTTGAGATTATGTAGGACAACAGCATTCATCTTCAACCCAAAAGTTGTTCAAATAACTAGCAATGTCAACGTAACCTCATGCTTGAACTAACTAGTGTGTCGTGAAGGTTTGCTCATGAGCCTGAATGGAAGGTATTCGTCGAAGACATTACTTATCAAGAAGATAGTATGAACAATAGTCAAACATCAGTCCTTACATAGACATACCTAGAACATCCCTCACCACAGCTTGGCCAATGTTGAACTCTTCACCAAGCATGGAGAGCAAAAACTTCTCAACAGCTCGTCGAGCGGCAGCATCTTTTGGTTCTAATTCTTCAAGTTTTGCTCCACCTCTTCGCTTCTTCTGCATCTTCGTCTTCTTTGCCACCATCGTTTCGTCGCCATGATTCTCTCTCACTACCACACTACCAGTCCAGCAGCTTGGGCGATCACTGGTCCCACTAATGAGGTTATCAGGTTCCGTGAGAGCATCTGGACGAGGCATTCTTCTACAGCCATTTCCCTCGACGTTGGCAACCGGACCTTTACGACCTTGAAGACCAGTAGAGTTTACTGCTTCCGATTCCGGCTGGCGCGTGGCTAAAAGCTCTGCCGCAGCATTAACGTCAGCATCTGCCTCTTCAAGCGCTGCAGCTATAGACTGTGGAGAGAAGCCGGGAAATGCAGCTTGAAGCTTTAGCAACATTTCTTGCTTTTCAGCATCCTGAGGCTCTATGAAGGACTTCACCTGGACCTTTGGACTGTAATCGTGCTCATAGGAATGCTCCACGGTCCTCACCCCAGAAGATGTCTTCATTGAAGTCGAGAAAGTCTCTGGTCTCTTGTCCAGCATTCTCAAAGACCAAACGTCAAATTCCGGCAACACCCTACTGCAAATAAACCCAGCGATTAAAATTATAAAAAAAAAAAAAAAAAAAAAAAAAAAAAAAACGTCCCGCTCCTCCTTTCTACAAACCCTAGATAAAGAAAACCACATTCCAAACACTTTGCTCAGCTCCAAAGTGATCAGAGACTCTAGCTCCAACTGCAACTCCAAGTATCATAAAACCCACTCCAACCACAGCAAAAATACACGACTACAGGCTCCCATTCCAAAATAATAAAAATGTTAAGCAATGTGCAACAAACTACAGCCACACCCAGAATTCAAAGCAAAGTACTCCCTCGCTCTTACAAAAACAAAAATACAAAATACAAAATAAATAAATAAATAAATAAAAACACTACGAACGACATCACAAACTAGAACGACATCGACTACCTGTGAAAGAATGCCAAAAACCCCCGCAAGAGTCGCTACACCGTTTCAACTCCCACACACCACGCGGAAATCATAAAAAAAAAACGCAATTCTGCGCCAATTCCGACGCCGAAAGAAAAATAAATAAAACACAAGAGAACAGGAAAAAAACGAAAAAAACTTCAGTGTCCGTAGTAAGGAGACTAGTAAACAGTAGTAGCGAATAGCCCGAGACTAGTCCGGCCGTGGCGTAGTAGTACACCTCCAACAGCGAACAGATTTCCCTGCAATGACACGAGCCACAACACTCCTCCCCTCCTCTCCCCTCCTCAAGCCGTGTTGCGTGGCTTCACTCGAGCAACTGAGACGTGCCAGCAAGACGAAGACGACGACGACGGCGACGACGATTGCTGAAACTCTACAAAACTCCACTCCCACAACTACGCCACTCCTACATACATTCTGCCGAAATCTACAACTCGCGAGGCGGGTTTCGTGGCTGCTCGTGCTTTCGACCACCAGGCAAAAACAATTGGGTGCCTTTCGCAGGAATGTGACATTCGAGATTCGGGAATTTTTCAGCAACATTCGTTTCTAAAATCCATTTCCCATTACCAGCAATGCGTAGATGTTCGCGTTGTTTCGCAGGAATGTGACATTCGAGATTCGGGAATTTTTCAGCAACATTCGTTTCTAAAATCCATTTCCCATTACCAGCAATGCGTAGATGTCCGCGTTGTTTCGCAGGAATGTGACATTCGAGATTCGGGAATTTTTCAGCAACATTCGTTTCTAAAATCCGTTTCCCATTACCAGCAATGCGTAGATGTCCGCGTTGCTGCGGAGTCGGGGCGGGGCGGGGCGGGGGTGCGGGTGTGAGGTGAGCCGAATTTTGTTGGGTCTCCGTGAGTCGCACTCGCCGTGTTAATTGTCACATGGGTATTGTTCAAGTCTTCAGCGACCACGAAACAAATGGTGGGTTATGTTTTATGAGCAGGCAAAGTTGCGAATTTCGACCACGCTGCGGCGTGGCTCGTCGAGGCACCACGCTACAGCCTGCTATAGCTCCGTCTCCATAGCCGGCCATGGGGGGGCTCGCCGGGAACCAAGGGAACCACGATCCTGTTTTAGAGCTGCGCTGGTCCCCATCACGGGAACGGGCATTCTGACACCAAGGAGATACGACTGGGTTTGTTATCAAAACATATACATATTCCAGAATGTGGGTGCACATTATTAATAAATGAAATGGATAAATAGATGAGAATATATTATTTTTTTAGTTATTTATTTATTTATTGTGATGGTGGTGGATTTGTGTGGAGGCCCTTCTGGGACTGGCAATGTATTGTGAGTTTCGTGGTTGATATTATTGAGTTTCGTGGCAATATTTTTGGTTTTTTGTTTAATTGGGTGTTCGACTGATGGGGATGTGTGTTTTGATGGGTGATAGTATTGAATGTGAAATGTTCAAGTGACGTAAGTGGATGATTTGGATGAATTGATTAAAACTATTTAGCTGTAACATTTTTAGGTGCCAAGCTAACTTATAAGTTATTACGTTTTTTTCATTGTCAAAATTCAGATAAAATTTATTAGAAAAACGTGTGGAATAAGATGTCAGTAATAAAGTCCAAATATATTAAGGATTAAATTATTTGTTTCAATCCAAGGACAATAAATATATTTTATTTATTTATTTATTGTTATGTTTTTGTTTTTACACCCTACAAAAATAAATGTTTCAATAATCCAATCAAGCTAATTTTTAATTTGTATCTATATTACACAAGTATAAATGAGGATTTTTGAAGTCAAGTAAAGTTTTATTTTGAAATTTTTATATGTATTCTAAATTGTGAATATATTATGCTTCTATACTCAAATTGTAATTATGGAGTTAAAAAACATTAAATTAAATTAAATGAACACCTAATCCTAACTCAGTTGCAAATTCTCATTGCATTTTTTAATCCTAATTTAGCTCCAATTCAACTTCCATTCTAAATCTCACCAAAACGTAGAAAAAAACAAACAAAATTCAAATACAAATACAAAATTTTCTTCTCAAATGTAATTCTTAGGTCATAGGCAAATCTAACTCCTGTTGATTTCAAATTCAATTCTAACCTTAAAATCATATTCAAAAATATATCATACTATACTTAAATATAAAGCTTAGGATCTAATTTAAATTCCGAATTGTGAGTGTAAATTTAATCTTAATTCAATCCTAATTATAATTAACAATCTTAAATTCCATTGCAACTCCAACTTAATCATAATCTTAACTTCAAATCCTAATTCAAATTCTAAAAAGGACTTATAACTCTGTCTTAACTCAACTCTAATCCTAAATAGTAATATAAAAATTAACTTGATCTAATATCTAGTTACAGATCCTCATTTGAAATTCAAGACTTAAAAATTTAATTCAATCTAGTATATATAACTCAAATTTAATATCAAATGATTTAGAAATTAAAATTAAAATTTTAATCCTTTGTTGAATCACAAATTCTAATTTACAAGTCTTTAAGCCTACTTCATAACTTAAATTCTAATTACAAAAAATACCAATATTAGATTCTGATACCTAAATGCAAACCTAGTTTTGATTTGACCTTGTTTGATTATAATATTAAACTTATAAATTCAAACAACATTTAATTTTAGATTTCAATTCAACTAAGTTATATATTTTAAGGCCTCAAAATTACTAACCTCAACTCAAATCTTAAGTTCTAACTAAAAATCATAATTTCTAACTTACATCTTCAATGTAAATCTAACCTTAACTAAATTCTATTTAATATTTAAACTTTGGATCCTAAAGCATGCCACTATTATTATCATAAATATTTTTGATAAAAAATATAATTAACATAAATATATTTTATAAAATAATGTAATAAATTATACAAAAAACAAATAAATATCAACTATGTGATTAAAAATTCACCCTAATTGGATTGAAAACTTATGATTGAAAATATTTACTAAGAAAACATTGTATCTTTGCATAATTATTTATTTTATTATTCTTCTATACATCAAATTAATTATTTTTTATCATTCTATCAAAAATCTATACACATTGAGCCTACCTTCAATATTATAAAATCAAATTGTTTGACAAGGATTATGCACTATGTAGATAAATATTGTTATTGACATTTTATGATTTTTATTTTTATCTTATCTAATACTTTTTTAAAAGTAGCAGATAATTTGAATACAAATGTTAATTATTTATATGAATAGAATCAACCAAGTTAAGTTTAAAATAACTTAAAGATGTAAAAATAGATTTAATTTTGGATAGATTTAAATTATATCTTATATTTAAATCTTACAAGGAGTTAGTGTTACAATAGTACAACAACTCTTTATAAATGAGAATCTTATAAACTATCAATATGAAGATAAAATTATTAGTTTTTGTCAAACCAAAATACTTGAAATTTAAATTTAAATTACATACTATAATTTTATTAAAATACAAGATTTTTAATGATTTAATATGTTTTAATAATATAAAAAATCATGCTAAGAAAATACTATATTTAAAAAACACAAAAAAGACTTAATCACACATAAAAATATTTACCAATCTATCAAAATATAAAAAATTAATAATATTAAAATTTTATAATATTTAGATGATATGTTATTTAAAAATTATTTTTTATTTTTTATTTTTTAAAAATAAGGATAAGAAATAAATAAAAAAATATTAAAGAGTTTTATTAGATCTTAAGAAAATTTTCAGATTTTAAATCAAGAGAATATTTTGTACAAGTAACATTCTGAAAAGATTTTTATATCTAGTATTTTTAATTTTATTTTTAATTTTAAAATAAATAAATGAAAATATAAAAATGAAAAAAATCTTGGATATATTACGTAATTTGGTTTAGAATGAATATATATATATATATATATATATATATATACTCATTTAAAATATTGGCTCCAGATTGTTTTATTTTTTTATCTTTAAAAAAATGTTATGTACATAATTTTAAAACGTTTGGGACTAACTTTTTCTACTGTAACTTAAAATAATTTCGAGACATATTTGTTTTTTGATTTACAACATAAATATTAAAATTTTAATACACAACACTTATATTGATTTAAATAATTTTTGATATTATTAATGATATAAGTTTTATATATGCATAAAAATATTAATTGAAATAAATTATGTTAAAAAATTTAGAAGATAAATCGTTAGTTTATTTCAATTCAAGATATTGAATATGTAATATAAATAATAAATTATGCTTTCTCTCATTTGTAAGAGTTTAAGAAGAAAATATATAATTTGTTTTAAAACTTTCTACTTGTAACTGAAACATTTTCATGTTGCCATTTCAACCACTATGTAAATTTCCTTAATACAAAATAAAATATGAGTTTTTTTTTATATTAAATATATATATATATATATATATATATATATATATCATGGATAAATGTTATCACTAACAAGTATTTTTCAGTATTTAACATCACAATGTTATTGTATTTCTTTTAATGATTTTAAAATCAATAAGTCATTCTAATGTTGCTACAACACAATAATGGATACTTCATATCTTCTTCACATAATTAAAAATCACTAAGTTACGTGTACTCATCCAACAATTTCTCAATAAAAAAAAACAATACCAACCTCTCCAAAATTCCTTGCAATAGTAAAATCCAACTCTAAATCAGCAATCCAATCAACCCAAGACAATAGTGCACCATGAATGGAGTTGAAAGCCATGTCATAGGGGTGCCAAAGGAAATGACAACAAAGAACAAGAAAATTAAAAAAAAATAAAAAATAAAAACAAACAAACAAACAAACAAACAAACAAACAAACAAACAAACAACCAAAATAAAATAGACAAAATATAATAAAAGGAAAAAGAAAAAAAAGAAGTAACAGCTGTAGTGTTGTAACAGCAGTCCTTTCTTCCAAACCACAGCTTTCAATTTTAACTGCAGCCCCTTTCTTCATGCACAATGCAGTTTTAAATTTGGCAATGGCATTGTAACAGCATCCCTGCTCTTGGCCTCACAAAGCCTGGCTGGCCATTTCCATATCCATTTCCCATGAAGCAAAACACACACACACACACCCAAAAAAAACAAAAAAAACAAAAACTGACATGAATCCATTTCCATGGATGAATGGTGATGGCAGTTGATCAACTGATCACCTGCATTTGCAAAGGAGGGAGAAAGGGCAACTTTCAAAATTGTAACAGACAATACCCACAAGTGGATGGGTCCCCATTTTCATCTCTCCCTCTTTCTTATAAAGTAGGAGCTCTAGTTACAAATCGAAATTGTGCTCATAGTGATGCATTTTGCTGTGAAGAAGAAGAAGAAGAAGAAGAAGAAGCAGTTTAGTGAGAAGTTTAGGGATCAAGGGAGGTAGAGATTGATTAGGGGAAGATGGGTTACATGCTTGTTTTCTGTATGTTGAGCACCTTCTTCAGCATGAGAGCTTCAGGAGGGGCTCTGAGTAGTAGTAGTAGTAGTAATAATGTTCATGGTATTGGAGAAGTGTTCAATGTCATGATGGAGGGTGCTGTTGGTGATGGCAGGACAGATGATGGAGAGGTAGACTTGATTTTTTGACTTGGCAATTTATAGTTGCTTATGTACAAATTGATGGAAACTGGCAGTAGTGCAATTTTGATTTTGAAGTAGACTAGGGATGTTGTTGTTGTTGTTGTTGTTTGTGGAGACGTGATTTGAATTGCGAAAAAGGAGGATTAAGAAAATGGGTACTGATGTGAAAGTGTGTGTGTGTGTGTTTGTGTAGGCATTTCAAAGAGCATGGCTGCACGCGTGCCGAATTCCATCAGCTGTGGTTTTAGTGCCAGCAGGAAGGAAGTTTTCGTTGAGGCCCATTGTCTTTGCGGGCCCCTGTGCATCTAAACTCCAACTCAAGGTACATAGTGGGGCAGTGTTGACATTGTCTGCATCTTAGCCTTGAGACTTTGAATTGGTAGCGAATTTGCTGGTGAAAACAGTCTTGGAGATGTCAGTCGCAATTCTGAATCGGTGCTCCTGGCGGGTGTCCCTAGTTTGTGTCGTTGTCTGTGCAAATGTACGTCGTTGCAAAGGTCATTCAGAAAATCTTGATCCATTTATTTGAGTTGTCTCGTATTTTTCGCTAGAAATTAGATGGAGAGTAAAGAAGGCTTAATGAAGCACATGAGTATGCTGGAAGTTGTTTGAATCAGGTGGAGGGTACAATCGTGGCCATGGAAGGACCGGGATCCGGGACTGGGGATCATAAGGCCTGGCTGGAATTCAAGAACCTTCGAGACTTCGCATTAGTGGGGAATGGAGTGATCAACGGTAAGGGCCGTCGGTGGTGGAGCCAAGTTTGCAGACCCACCATGAAGGTGCGCTTTCTGAGAAGCCTTTTTGACAGTTGGCTTTGTCGGAAGGTCAGTGGGAAAACCTGGTGTCGGAATCGTAAGGAGTTTTATGTCAATCTGAAAGACTAGACTAGTTTCATGTTCCATGGCTCTTGTCCAACCTAATCACAGGCCAGTTGAATTCTCGTACGTGCAGAGATGCAATCCAGGATCCAAAGAGCCCCCCAACGTGAGTGCCCTGTTTTATCTTGAAGTTGGCAAGCTCAGTTATAGTTTTGCGGAGGACAATTGATTACTGAAACTCGTGGCTCAATTAGGTTGAAATGACCAGGAATGTGGTACAGATTCATTGTGTTCTTTTTAACCGTAAGTGGCACTCTATCAGACATAAATACCCACTGAAAGTCTAGAATGAGTTTAATCACTATGAAAATGGATGAGTAAACTAGTGTCAAACGTTGCTGAACGATAAAATCTGTTGAAATTTGCAACTACAGGGGTTAGTTTTTCAGAACTGTGTGAATGTTCGTGTTAGCAATTTAAGGATCCGAGACAGTCCGAAGTTTCATCTTACATTCACGAACTGCGACGGCGTACGCGCCACAGGATTGCTAATCACGGCCCCCAGAAACAGTCCCAACACTGATGGGATCCACCTCAAAGACTGCCAGAATGTCTTTATCTTGAACTGCAGGATCCGCACAGGTACACCATCTTAGAACCAACCACAGTCACTATGAACACGTTTCCAGCCCCGCATTTTTTTGATGTTCAGCAGTATTAACCTGTGATGTCCACACGGGTGCAACAAACTGCGGATCTAGTCTTTTGTCTCCACAACGATAAAGACCCACTTCAATCAAAAGTAATCCATGATATTCATAATAAGTGAGAACTATTCCTCTCTGTTCGGATCGTTTAATTCATTTCCAATTTTTTCCGTTGTGGTTATCACAAAAACTTTCAATAATTCCTCCACAAACATCGGCTTGGTGCATTAGCTCCCAAGAATTTAGAAGACGTTACATATCGAACGAGCCAAAGTAGATATAAAGTCTAGAGAGAGACTTGACCAGAGAGATTTGCACACATCGTTATCTGGAATTCTTCCACGAAGCGAGGTCCTTGTGGGAATGATAAATTGCAATTAATTTTTTTTCATGTGAATCTTCGCCTTCAGTGATCACTTAGCCTTCTCTATACGTTTCTGAACGAATTAACCTCTGGAAAAGGTGCTTTGTGCAAAAGTGGTTGCAATAAGAAAACGAAGTATAGACAGTTCGGTAGAGGCTTTCTACATACATTCGCTCCAGTTACAAAAGATACAATTTATAAGCACATGAGCTTGCAGGTGATGATTGCGTCTCCATCCAGACTGGATCGTCCCTGGTGCTAATCGAGGACATTGAGTGCGGGCCTGGTCACGGTATCAGGTACGCTAGGCAAGACATCCAAAAATTGTGAGTTTTAGAGTTCTCTACTTTCGGAGAGCGTTTGAATCACCAAACTTATTGAATATGAAGATCCAGATTTAACTCGACAAGCTTAAATTGTACTGCTGGAAACCCATGACGTGAAACTTCAAGACACACAATAGAAAGGGTACCAAGCATGTGAGGACACCTTTTTCGGTCGAGACTCGCAAACATATAAATTTAGAGAAAATGATCGTGCTAAGTAGTTAATGTGCCTCTGAGTGCAGTGTTGGGAGCTTAGGAAAATCGAGGTCGAAGGCCTGTGTTTGGGGTATCAAGGTCGACCGAGCAACGTTTGACCGCACCACCAACGGCTTTCGAATAAAGTCATGGCAGGTACTTTCGTTGTCTATTCAGCGGTATTGTTTCAAGTGTACACCAAGATTTTGTTCCCTCCGGATCTTAGTTATCCCTGAAATTTTAATGACTCAGAGATGAAGAGTGTGTTAATAGACTCTGCACTTGAAAGCTATTTTCGGTAGTCAACCTTTATCCCAACTAAATGATTGGACGTTTCCCTTTGTTTCTTGGTGACTCAGGGGGGTTCAGGTCACGCCCATGGTATAATGTTCCTGAATGCTAAAATGAACAAAGTCGAGAAGCCGGTGGTTATCGATCAATACTACTGTGATTCTGCCACTCCTTGTGCAAACGAGGTGCTGACAGTTAAACCACCTTTATATATGAAATTGTTTGAGGTTCTTTTAAAGTATTAATCAACCAGACTCATGAAGGAACCTGACGTAAAATAAGAATCTAAGATTTCTTGAAACTTCTGCGTAATGTAGTACAAGGGATCGCTTCATGAACCGGTTATGGCAACAGATGCAATGACCTTCCTAAGCACCTCATGTCAACTCATGGGAATTTTCTGCAGACGTCTGCTGTTGCTATCTCAGAAATTATTATTGCCAACATCACGGGGAGATCATCTTCGATGATGGCTGTGGACATCAAGTGTAGTGAGCATGTGCCATGCAGAAATGTAGTTCTCCAGAACATTACAGTAACGACCGAGTCCAATAAAGATAAAAGCACAGCTGACATCAGCTGCTGGAACGCGTATGGGTTCATCACCAACATAACCAGCCCCATGAGCTGCAGTTTGAAACCCGAACCAGCCGGCACTGGGCTGTTCGACCCGTACAGGAATCCAACGAGACCTCTTGGCTGCTGAAAGTAAGCATCCATGCAACTAGACACCACGTTCTTCCTGAACAAGAGCAAAGACCAACGATTTACTCGATATTTCACAAACCTCATAGAACTTTCCTTGTGCAAAAACATGTTCAACCCGAAGGGTTCAGTAAATCAAGCCGACAATGAATTGGAATATAGAGTAAAATTTCCAGTAAATAATTCGACACAGAAATCTCACCTAGACTATGCAGATGTACAATGTTCATGTACGTCACTAATTTGACGCTCAAATTCTCCTGGAAGCGCATGCTTTGACATGGCTGAAGTTGGCATCCGAGAGTAACATTATGTAGAGCTTTGCGAGGAAATAAAACCTTGAAAGGAGTCATTGATGTGGCTTCAATTGCAATTGCTCAGCAACTTTGAATCTACTACGTTCTCATCGTCATGCCTGCATGTTACAACCAAAAACCAGTATAAGTGCAAAAGAAGTGACATTGGGCTGAATGCTGAGCAAGTATATCCTGCAAATAACAAAAGAAACAATAGTTGTCACAAACCAAACTATCTGTTGACGAATTCATGTCAAAATTGCTATCTTCAAACCACTTAATTTGCAATCTGGATTTGTAGCAATAAATGCACTAAAAGATTCTTTATTATTTCCTTTTGTAGCCATGTTTGCATCTCATTTTCACTGGCCACCAAAAATCAATCTCTAAATTATATATTAGAGAAGATAAATAAATGAAAATAATGCTTAATCAAATTATGTGCAATCCATTTATTATTATTATTATTTTAGTGTACTAGCTAAATGAAATGATCTATATTAAATGGTCCATAGTTCAAAGGTGATGAGGTTTGCCAAAAGAAAGGTAGTACAAGAGTGATAGTGGTCTATATAAAAACCATAAATTAAAAAACAATACAATAGAATAACAAGATCATTGCATGGAATCAATAGTAGCAAATACAATCATCCAAATCTAAACTTGGAACTTCTTAGGTAAGGAGCACTTCTTCAATTATAGAAAGAACATCTCTAATTCATGTTTTAGATAAAACAATAGAAATATTTATTTTAGAAAGAATTTTGTCTTTTGTTTTTTATTTGCCTATTGTCCATAAGCTAAAGGGTAGCATACACATAATAGATAAAGAGAAAAATTCTTTGTTTTAGACTCAACCCATTCAAATAATAATTTACTAGCAATATTTATGCAAGTTGGATTTAGAGGTGTAATTGCAAAACCTTACCTTGAACACCCAATCTAATTAGGATATGGTTTTATTATATTTTTTTATTTTAGAAAATAAAAAAGAAAAAAAAAGAAAAAAAAAGAAAAAACTACATTTAGTTATAATACAATACTAAAAAAGTTATGAACAAAAAATTTCATGATGTTTTTATTTATTTTCTTATTTCTTAAAAATTAAAATAATTAAAACTAAAAACAAAGTTTTTACTAATTATAATAAGAGACTTAAATTAATAGATAATACTAAAATAAGATGGTAGATAATAAATTTAAAATTCTATAATTAAAAAAGGTCTTTAGATGTTGCATTATTAAGAATATTATAAAAAATCTCAATAAAAAAGAGATTAGTTTGGTGATACAATCTTTAGAAAATTTATTTATGTTTAAATGCAAAACACAAAATTGCTTGGCCAATGTCTAAATTGTATTCATCTTTTAATTAAAATATTTAAATTTATAATTAATTATAATCAATAATTATTATAAATGGCAAAATAGTATATTTAAGAAGATTGTTAATCAAAGATTGTTTTCTTTATTACCAATGCATTTGGTAGTGAATTTTGTTAAGATTAAAGCTAATAACAATAGTAAGAATATACATAAAGACCATCTAATATAAGCAAATTTTCAAAAAAATGATAAATTATCTATTGAAGATTTTTGTTTTGTTTTGTTTTTTAAACAGAGGATGTACAATTAGACTTATGACTTTTATTTAGAAGAAGTTTATGATTCAAATATTACTTTTAAAATATAAAATAAAATAAAATAAACTTTAAAGAAAGACATTCCAAAATCAACAAACAATGATATCCATTTATTACTTTGATTTGAAAAGATAATATAAGAATTTATATATATATATATATATATAAGATTCATAAAAATTAGGATAAACTAAAATATGCTAGAAAATTGCATGTTACAATAGTATAATATGTTTTTGAATTGGTAAAAAGATAAATATATTGTTTAATATTCTAAGTAATTATTCATTGATGTAAAACATAAATAAATACATAAATAATATGTACATTCATTTAAGTTTAATTGTGCAATTAATAGGCTTGAAAACTCAATAAAAAGATGAACTGTACTAATGAGGAAGTTTAAAAGGCATTCTATTATCCTCGGAGTGTGAATTTTGAAGCTGTAAGGAGAAAGTTTGGATTTAATATGTTATTGGAGACAACACTTCAATTCAGAAACTGCACATCAAATTGTGCCTCGAAGATTTTGTAGCTAACCAGGTTCTAATGGCACCAGGTTGTTGAAAGGAATTTGCTACATTGTCAGTCTATCACCAACAGATGCTCAGAAACACATCGTGGATGGGCTCCAGCAATGGGCTTAGTTTCTAAATAATGGGTGTGTACGTGTTGATGGAACATTGTAGTAGAAGTTCATGACACCAATAGAGCATGCATGGATCCCAAATAACAATGGTTACGCGTACTTGTATTGCACAAAATAATTGCTAAACAGAAGACCTAAAAGAGGGCAGTCGTTCATCACAACGCTGTTGGCACTATTTGAGAATCTGAGGGCAAGTCTCTTTTGCTATTGCTTAAGTTTTACAACAATCGCATTCTGCGTATGATCAATTCTCAACCAGGTAGATTCCAAAGCCGAAGAATTCATATCATGCCCATGACTGCTAAGAACTAATTCCACAGAAGAAAAATGTGACATAGCTTCTCTAGTTGAACCTGATCCCCCAAGGTTATGGCTACCTATTGGTGTTCAGCATACAAACGCTGTTTTCTGCCTCTTCGATTACGAAGCAACCTACAGCTCATCCTCCATGCGCAAATACTCCCCTAGGTCAGCTTGATGCAAAGCGACAATATCATTCGGATCCAACTTCCTGCAATCCTGGGTAGACTTCGCCGCTACTCCAAAACCTAGCGGTACGTCAGACATAGAATAAATTACAACTCCTTGATACTGTTGAGTATTATCTGTAATCCTCCCCAAACCGCTCTTGAGTACGTGATTTCCATACAAAAATGACATTTCCGCAGATGGTTTGAGCCATATCTTATGCTTCGCATGTGCGGCGATAAGATCCAAGCACGTCACTGTGAGACGGAACTTGCCGCTTTTGGTGAATTTGCCCAAGCACGTACCCAGCCCAAACAGCTTATCCCGCCCTACATTTGTGGCCCGCCGCACTAGTGCATCGCTTACGTAGTAACACCTCTGCTTGTGTAAACGAAAGACGTACCCTCCTTTCCCATCCGGCCCTTCGTGCGACGGCCTCTCCAACACATGCTTGAGATTACTTCCTACAAATTTATGCAACTTTTCCAACACTTGCGTCATCTCAGGTTCATCCAAAGGACGCATTTTCACAGATTATGCTACTACCCAGAACTCCGCAACTAGAGTCCTCCAACAACCGCAGAATACAAACTACTGTACGAAACACCTACCAGCACAAACTCCACCAAAACCAAAGAACTCAGACCAGCTTGAAGTTTAACCTCCAAAAGTTTGAAGATTTAGGGTTTAAGAAATTTAGGGTTTATGCTCGCCGGGAACCCTTGCCCCTGGAAGAATGACAAATTCTGCGTGAAACTGTCTTCCTCTCATGTTTGCGCTCACACCAGCTTTACCATAAAACGGAGAATTCGTGTATTTGGGTTTGTGGCTCACCAATGATTTTAACTGTTTTTTTGCTCAAATATTCCTCAACCTTAGAAACATCCACAGGTTTAAATTTCAAGGTGATATATCTGGATGAATTTAAAACATTAACTGAAAAATAACCTAAGCAAAAAAACAATGTTGTATTGTTAATTAAATTATATGTCTGCATATATCTGTGTGTTGTGTGTGAGTATGTATATATATATATATATATATTTCTTCAAATGAAATATTTGAGCATGTATATTTCATCTATTATTTTTTTGATGTCCGTGTTAAATTAAAAAATAAAAAAAATTTGAATATCGATCCAGTTTTCAAAGACTATGTTGTATTATCCATATTGATGTTAATTTATGTGTTCAAAATAATCTTTTTGCTAAAGAGTGTAAAATTCATGTGAATGTTTGTATGTGTATACATATATATATATATATATTTATATATATACACACACACATTCAATACCAATATTATGGTGTTAGTTCGGTTTAATATCAACATAACCAAAATCATCAATGTGGACTTAAAGTTTATTCTATTGTTTATTATTGTGTCATATTAAATCAATAGATACAAAGCTAAAGAGTATGTACTAGAGAGTCTATAATTTAACTTTCATTGCATGATTTAAAGGCGGACACTTTTTACAAAAGACTATCTTGAAAAAAATTATCTCATTTTTAGTTATAAACAAATTCTCTACTATGATGATTTATTTATTGCAAAGATCATTGTCCCTAAATCACAAACACTAGTTGCAAACTTATACCTTTTGCCTTGTAATGAAGATTAAGTGCTTCAAAATTGTTGTCAAGTGTCACTCAAGAACCTTTTGATACTCCTACCAATCTATAATCACAAACTCAAATTTATTAAGAAAAGAAAAGAAAACTATGTCAATACTTTTGTATGTATATACATATATATATATATATATAGCAACCCAAGAATACATATTTTTAAATTCTTCTTAATGACTTTTCAAACATCACATGATGTCACAAAAATGGACACAAATTCCTTTTTCTTTTATGGACAACCTGTGATTTTAAAAAAAAGATGTATTGTTGTTAATTATTAATTTAACCTAACAATATATGTTTTTTTAAATCACATTTTGCATCATATTTGGTTAATTGCTTATCTGAAATATAGATATCTATTTTTTGTTTTAAAAGTTAGGATGTAACCTTGTCGATGTGCATTTTAAAATATAGCAACACATTTTATAAACTATTTCTCCAACAGTTCTGCAAAAACCACCATACAATTATGTCATTATATAAATAACATGCCGACCGACAGATGGCAAGAAATTCAAAAATATCTCCAGTTACTGGGCAACTCGCCTTCATCAAAAGCGCGGGATCGAACGTCACGATCACGGACACGCGTCATCTTTCTACTAGATTTCATTTAGTTACGTTCACACAAACAGACGAAGGGGGACATTCATACTGCAGTGGAACAGTCATGGAGGGACGGGGGCAGACAATTTGCTTGCTTGGAGCAGTTGAGATCACTTGTAATAGAGATTTCGATTCTATTGCTCGGCACTGTGTTGCTCAGATCGAACGTTGTGCGCCGTGAATTAGATCCTGTCAAGCGTCACTTATTTTGTGCTGGAGAGAGAGGTTTGTTTGGAGATTGGTAATTGGAAAAAAAAAAAAAAAAAAAAAAAGAAAAAAGGACGCTCTCCACTGCAACGCGGATTAATTTATCTAAGTTGCTGTAAGGATTGGAAACGTTTTAGTTGAGGTGAATTCTTACTTTGTGGGAGCGTCGCGTTGTAGATTGCCTGTCTGTTTATCAGATTATAGGATGTGAAGAAGATTAGTAGGAAAAGCACAGTTGAAGAGGTAGGGCTTGTCGAAGTCTGTAGTTTTGTTCGTCAATCTGTGAGCTGCTTTAGATAAAGTGGCTTCGATTTGTTTATTTATTTTTCTTTCGGTTCGGAAGAGGGCATGTGATTGAAGTCTACTGCGAGGTTAGTGTGAGATAAGTCAACGTTCGTGGAGGCGGAGGATTGGGATTCTGCTTTTTTGGTCGAGATGGAGAAGGTGTTAGGCGCTTTCAAATCAAAGGCTACCCCGCAAGAACAATTGCGAGAATGGCAGCGCACTCTGCGGCAGCAATCTCGTGGTATTGACCGCCAGGTCCGTGGTGAGTGTGGTCCTACTTTTGATGTATGTTCAGCAATTATGTTGTAATACATCAACTCTTTTTTTCAGATTAAGCCGTGTATGCTCTAGGTCTAAAGGCTCTTAATTTGACGGCACTCGAGGCACCACAGCAATCTCCTCTTGGAGACAGGTTTCCTGTTGATGCATAATGGTCGTTGCAGCCTCTCATAGTTGAAAATCGCATTTGTGAGGATTTTGTGCATGTTGTGAGAATATGCGAGCTTTTGTAGTGATAGTGATGAACCACGATCTATCACTGGTAGGCTACTATCATATTTTAAACTTGTCGATGGTGGTATTAATGTCTTACTGAATTTTAAATCGAAGACATTAATCTGAAAGTTCCATTTTGCTGACAACCGTGAGGCGATGTGACGACCTTGTGGTGCAGCAATACAACGCGAAGAAAAAAATGTACAGAAGTCCATAAAGGAGGCTGCCAAACGTAATGATATGAAGTCTGCTAAGGTTCCCCTTGATTCTGGCTACAACTGCTTTGAAATCATTGGGAACTCATTTATACATGAAGTGATGCAAAGAAATTAGCTTAATTTCATAAAAGTTTCCTGACTGGCGTGAGATTATCACTTTTAGGCGTTGTTTTTGGAACTTCACAGTTTGCATGCGGTATAGGTTGCTAAAGGGATATGGAAGAGAGATGAAGATTATGCTTATCAAGAACCACGTTGCCTTGTCCTTGCATGGCTTGCTATATACAAACAATTTTCAGAAAAGTAATAAAGTTGGTGTTTGTGAACTCAGTCATTGGCGAGGGAGCTTGTACACTCTAGAAAAGCGGTGGGACGACTTCATGAGAATCGAGCGCAACTCAATTCCATTTCCATGCATTTGGGGGAGAGCGTTGGTAATGTGTACTCATCACCTCTGATGTCTTCTGAATGCTTGGAAGTAGTACTAATTTCTGTTGGATATCTAGTTGGACATCAATTCTATATATGAAATACGATTCGTGAACTCGTTTAATATCAGTCGAATAAACGATGATGAGGAACCAATTGTTAATGGGTTGTCAACAGATTGGCATCTGATGTTCGATGCAGGATAGTGACTGTAATGGTTTTCTGACTGATTGTTGTGTATTCGACTTGCAGCCACGGCGAGGGCGGTAGGGCAACTGCAGAAAAGCACTGAAGTTATGAAACTTGTAAACAACCTCATGAAAGCTCCTGAAGTGGCAGCCACCATGCAAGAACTATCTAAAGAGATGATGAAGGTATCTTTTCCAGATGTGCAATTTGTATATAGAGTGGCTTCAATCCTGGTTCGTCCGCTTTGGTCACGAGTTTTCTCCGCAAAAAATATTTTCTTCTCATCTCAAGCTTTGCGAGTCACTTTTAATCATCACAGTTAAATCATGTGGGGGTTCTGAGATTGCTGTGCATGGACATTTGCAACAGGCTGGTGTAATTGAAGAGATGGTTAATGACGGGTTGGATTCCGCCCTTGATAATGAAGACATGGAGGAGGAGACGGAGGAGGAGGTCAATACGGTGTTAGAGGAGCTTGCTGTCGAGACTTTGACACAATTACCAGCCACTGGAACACGAAGAGAACGGATTAGACAACCTGTGCAATCTGAGCGCGTGCTTGCAAAAAAGGTTCATTACATGTTTCTCTTTTCCCTTCTCTTAGAAATGCAACTTGTTTTTCTGATCCTCGATGTAGTAGTGTTGTCGAAGTTTATTTCCAAATATGTGTATGATGTTTTATACAGATACAATGTGAACATTCTTTGTCTTGTTTAGAAAGAAAGTTTTGCGTGGAATAATTGTCGCTGGAGTAGGGTTTTTCTTGGCACAATGCCTCCAAAAGACGCCCCGACTTGATGAACATCTAATTTTGGTTGCCGACATGCAGTCTAGATGCTGTAGTAGTAACTTGCTGAATGTTACAGGATTGATTCACTGGTCGGAACCGACACAACTGACAATGTGAATTTTTGCTATGAATACAGCGACAAGCAGTTGTAGGAGGGGATGATGACGCAGATCTTGATGTCTTACGGGCTCGATGAAGCAACGTTCGGCATTGAGCTATAGGCACTGTTGTAGAGAATCCGGAGGCACACGTCACTGGACAGCGTAAGGATCGGTACTCATTGTAATTGTTTTCAAGTCCGGCATGTCACAACTCATCTTACGAATAGTTCAAATATATTTTTGTATGTTGTAGCAACAGAATAGAAAATGTGTATTTATATAGAATTTAGCAAAGAACGATAAATTGAATGTGTACTATGAAGAGGAGGATGTCAAAGAAGTACCACTTCCAAGTACAATCTCGTTACGGAGGAGATGATTTTGTGTTTGATATGATACATTCGACTACACATTGTCACGAGTCAGTGCTCTCCCTTAAGAACTTGAATTTGAAGATAGATCATGAAGTGTACGATAGTTCTAGTACATTATCCGTTTAATGAATTAATTTGCTTTATTTCAATAGATTGTTAAGCGTTTGCGTCATTATTCCTTCCCGCGAAGGTTCTGAACATTCATATGGATTTTGCACGTATATCTTTCTACTCTCAACCTACAAGATGGCAAGCATCCAGGGATGGCATCTCATCATCCTCGATTCACTCCATGTCTCTGTCACTCCTCTGCAAAAACTCATCAATCTGAACTAGTAAACGGGATTCATTATCTAGTTTAGAAATCTCAGCATCTTGATGTTGCTTTACAAAATGGTCTCCAGTGTCGCGGAGAGCCAAGTGCATCATGAAAGCACCAGGATCCATCTTTTCTACAGTCTCCTGGGGATTTGGAGCGAAAGATTCTTTGTCCGTTGCTGTGGGTGAGGCACCATTCATCACCGATCGTTCTCTGTAATACTTTCTCCGCACACCCTGCCACGTACATGAATTTTTCTTCAGTAGTAACCCTAATGAAAAGAAAACATATTCGAACCACGGAATGATCTTTAAGCACAACATCAACATTGCCAAGTAGTAGATGTGAGATGGAGGATCTTGCCAGGTACAAGGCGCGTAGTGTTTCAACTTGCTCATGCTCCAAGAAGCCTCTTTTCAACAACTCTAGGAAGAGTTCAACTGTCTCAACAGTAATATATTGAGTGTTCTTAAAGTTCTGAATAACTGCTCCGAGAACCTTCGAACTGAACACTGATGGTAACCATTTGTTTGGGGGGGAAACACACAGTATCGTCGTTAGGATTGGAGGAGAATAATAGATCTCTTCTGTTTTTACTACGTCCACCTGTCCGTTGGCAAGAGGAAGTAGAAGTTCTTGTGCAACAACTTTGTACCATGGGCTCCTTCGAACAGCTTTTTGTTTCATATTGAGGCTGGTCATTTCCAGAAGTCTCATCAAACATATGCACGCATTCTTCCTCAGCAAACCGTCGCCTCCTGATGCTGTTCCTTGCAGTATCAATGTAACACTCCTAAGATGGTTCAAAGAGCATTCAGCTAGATCCCCATGCATTTTGCCATTGTTAGCTCTTGCATATGATAGAAGTTCAACCAGGCAAGATGATGTCAAAATCTGCAAGGGGGTTGTGCAGAAGCAGAGAAGCTGGCAGAGCTGTTGACACGAAATCCTGGGGGAAGAACCAATTCTCTTTCCATTGATACTCTTCGAAGAAGTGCGCTCATTTCTGTCGTTCATTCCCTCATGTAACATATTAGCAGTGCCGTTGGAGACACTGCACAGCATGCGCTACTATTAGTAAATTAGGCAATTCATGATTTTGAGAAAAATGTACGGTCCAAAAGATATTCACTAGAGATTCTTGTTGTTTACCCTCTGAGCCACAGGACACAAAATAAGAGGGAGGCGCTTAAAGTCACCCCTTCGTCAGAGTTGATATCCATGGTGGTCAGCACGGAGCCTTTCTGGGAAGCATTAGCAATATGTTGTTCAAAAGTCTCTCGAAGCTCACTACTCGTGTAAACCTTGCTAGCTGCTTCCTTTAATGCAAGGATCTTAGTGGATTTATGCATGATCAGAGTAATAAGGTTAACTAGCGATACACTACAAGTTCGAACGATTTTCCCCTTGTCCAATTGCGATACCAGGAGCTTCTCTGCCTGCAACACAAGTATTCCGGTAGAGTGCATCTTCATACTCGTTAGTCGTGTGCTTGAGGCATTTGTGCAGAGTGTTAAAACCTTCAAAAGTTGGTTGTATTGTTTGATATCTCATGTGTTAGTATTGGGATGAATAACATGAATTAATAAGACTGATTTGGGCTGAATCTGTAACGACGTCAATTACCTGACTTGCAATGTCTAGCCAGGCGCCCTCGTCCATCGCAACCATCGTTTCATCAAGGAAGACAAGCTGTTGGAAGAGCAAATCCACACAAGACGTAACTGTAGATTCAGATGCCTTCATGCCTTGCAAAAGAATGAACCGCCTCAGGATGCTCACAACCCCGTGCCTGTGAATCTTCTTTGTCAAATTCAAATCTCCTTTGGAAATGCTAGCAAGACCTGTTGCAACCATCCCAATTTCATCCTCAAGATGCCTCTCAACTACGTCAAGGAACAGGGACATAAGAATCTCTGTCACGCGATCGTCCTCCTTGGTCAGCTGTGCTATTATTGCCTGGTCTTCCGAACCAGCATACAGATTCCTCAATAGTAAGTCTTTACTGATTGGAAAAAGGATCTCTTTCTTCATGATCCACTTAAGTGCATGCATTGGCAGCTCGTAGTCGCGAAAACTACTAATGTACTCTGTTTGTAGAATGTCAACCATATTATTTTCAGCCTTCCTACTGCGGAAGCGGCCTTGTGATGACACATCTTCATGTCCATGAATAAACAAAAGGAAAAAATGTCTAAGGGCTGCAGAAGATGGCGATGCAAGCATTGAAGAGGAAGCGTTTACAAGAAGATGTTGCTCCAAGGAGCTCATGAGCTTATCACTTCCCACAAACCTGCTGAAATTTGAATCAAGTCATCAAATCCTCATTAGTCCGTGGCCAGATACGGAAACCCCTTTACATCATCGAAGGTTGGAATCAACTTTGAAATCAAGTTTGAGGATTTCTTGGTTTCAGACTGAACAGCTTGGAAAAAAGAGAAAAGGGCTTGTTGGTACACGTCTTGATACGCACATCATCAAAATCCTGCCGTCATATCCACTGTAACTCAATGCTAAAGACGCTTTAGTACCCTTAAATACTGGAAGGATGGTAACAAATGTTACCTGTCTCCGTGTTCAACGGCAGTGAACAGAATAGCAATAATCGCCTGATGCGCTGCAATAAGATGCAAGTCCCCATCGTTTCTCTGTTCAAGTAATAAAAGCAAACCTTCTACGTCAGTGGGTAAATGTAACATGACGTCTTGAACAGCCTCCTCGGACGAGGAAAGTCTATCAATCATTTTGCTTATTGTACTGTAAGCAATTTGTTTAAAATCTCCGGTGGGGAATCTCGACATGGTTTCGTACGCCATACTGATCCAGTTCTTCGACACAAGAATCCTTGCAAATGTCCTGGTCTTGATAGCATCTCCAGTTTGTAAAATGTTTCTGACTAAATCGAAGAAAGCATTTGCAGTTATTTCGTCTGAGATATTATTCCAGTTAGTAGTAAAAATCGAGAGCATGTGAAAGTGGAAATGAGTCATCAAAAAGTCTGTCAAAGCGGTAAACTGCTCAGAAGGAATTGTTTGCTTAATGGAGAAGATATAAGCCTCCTGAAACAGATAAGCAGCAGACATGAGTCCTTTGTGGTGTGTTGCATATATAGGGTCTGCGCTGATGCAATCAGTCAGAGCGCAGATGCATTCTTGTAGCGTTAAGCAAATTGAAGGGGTTCTAGAGCACGAGGGTGCTCTCAACAAAGTTCCAAGAGTATTGCAAGTAGCATTCAAACCCTCTGGCGAGAGACCAAAACCAAGAGTATCAGATACTGCGTGATCTTTCATCACGCTTCTATATAGTTGAAAAGATTTCTTCAGGAGCTCCACAAGATATTCTGCGCGAGAGGCACCCACTACATCAGGGCGATGAGCTATTCCAGAACATATTACGTTCAAAGTGTCTTTCTGTAAAGTTCCAAAAGCTGAAGCGAACGAGTGATTAAGTACACGCAAAAGTGGTTCGAGTCCGAGACTGAAATGCTGGGAGAACGATTGGAAGGCTAGCGAAAGTGTCTCTAGCGCTTGAATCGCACTAGTAGCAATAGCATCTAAATTGCCTGCAATCCGAGAGTCAGTTGGTGTTAGTACCTGTGAATGAACATCAGGCTGTTACAACGGTCAAATTATATATTCCCTTGCGAGGAAATCAGAAAAATTCCAAACCTTATCCTATGTCATTCCTGTCGAGAGCCCATCTACATCTAAGTTGGCTAGTGATACATGAAGTCTCGTCCACAGTTGGGGCCATAGTTCAAAACAAATTACAGAATATCCAATGTCATCGTAGTTTGGCTGGTTGCATATGATATCAGATGAAGACCAGAAAATGGATACAAAAAAATCCACTTACCTGATATTCTTAGGACCTCGAAGATGTAGTCGGTTAGCCCTTCATTGACGAGAGATTGAATCTCCTCACTGGTCTCCAGGCTCATGGAGCATACCAAATTAATCAGTTCTAAGGATTTCACTTGGACCTGTGTATCTGAGGATAAGAGTGACGCTTTCATAGCTTCTGCGAACTGCTCCACACTGGAAGAGCCAGTTTGGCAAATGGACGCTGTAGATTCCTGATCGCCGTCATCACATTCCCTCTGAGAGAAAGATGTAGACTGGCTTATGTTGAATGCCGATGCTTGAGCCAGCGCAATCAACAAGTCTGCAAACACGATGAAGGACTCCATTCATTACAAGAATGTTTTTACAGACAGCTTTGAAATAGACGTGTTGTTGCAATGCTTTAAACTGTCTCATTCTAAGACGCTCCAGTCTCATAGAATTGGTTCAAAATGGAGAAATAAAGAAAGAAATGCCAAAAGGATCCCGTTTCTGCAAGTCACTCTGGTTCTCAACGCGGCTGTAATTATGCTAATATGCTTGGAATTTTTACCCAAGCTTTTAGTTCTCAATTCATCATTTTGTGATCTCTCCAAAGCTTTTATTGCTAGGTGCACCATCACGGGGCAATATTTAGCCAAAAAGTTGATGCCATCTTCCAAATTGGCCAATGAGGAAAAAATAAAGAAAACGTCAATTCCTACTTCATCACTGCAAGCAGAAACATAGTGTTACATAGCTGAAACCCCTACAATATTCTGCTAAAAAAGAGAAATCGCTGTTAGTCAGTGTTCACACCGGAAGACGAAAAATTTCAAAGCACTTCATACTCTGGGAAGAGGAGACAGATGACATGCTTCATCAAACTCACGTGGGAAATGAAAGAGCTTTAATTAAATATTGTACGCAACCAGGTTGAGATTTAATCGCATGAGGAATGTGATTGTCATGTTGACAATGCAGCTCAAGCAGAAGGGTCAAACCACGCACCTGCGTGGAGAAAGAGACTTGCCGTCAGATTCACATACAGTCCCAACAGCAATGAGGTTCAACAGCCTCAAGTGATGAAAGACCAATTCTATCATGGAGTACAAAATTTTCGTTTCAGCACTCCTAGCAATTATCTCGTGGGGATACAAGTATGCGTGACCATGGTTATTCAGGATCCATGCAGGCTCAATCAGAGTTACGAACTTCTTCTTTAATAGTTCACCAACAGAAACATTATTTAGAAACAAAGCCATTGCTGAAGCCCGTCTACGATACAATTCTGGGCATCTATGGGTGATGGGCTGACAACTCAACAATTACTTTCTACAATGTTGTGCCAGCGGAACCTTGTAAGCCGCCTAGGTTTCATGGCACAAGCAGATACATGTGAATCTAACGCTTGTCTACCTCATATGCTGTTTTCACAAGAACCATAAAACTGCACAGCTGCTGATATAACTTACACTGAAAAGACAACCTTGCTTCCAAAGTGTAGCTTCGGACGTCGAAAAGAGCAAACAAACCTGCAGCATCATATCTTGAAGTATCGTATCGTCATTCTTTAAATCCAGTTTGCAAGTGGTAACCATCACATCTATAATTGCACTTACGAGATCCGCGTCGTTAGAGAAGAAAATTGCTTTTGCCAAAGGCGCGGCAAGGAATGCAGGGCGCTTCTGAATCAAAGCGGCACAAAACTCTGTATCTGTCAGCGCTTCGGCAAATTCACTAATAGCTTTTGCTTTGTGCACGACGAGAGACGAAGGCGCAGCAATGAGTTCTGTAAAGCACTCCAGGCAGAATGCTCCTCCAAATCCTATACTAACCAGCATAAACGATCCATGTTCTCGTGTACACGCCATATAAAATGGTCTGCCATCACTTGGCTCATCGCCATCCCACCTTTGAGCCATTGTAATCAACTATGTGACTATAAAACCAGAGCACAATACCCTACCTCTTACTTCATGCAGCGAAATGAGAACAGCGAAGCGGGTGCGGAAATCAGTTTCTACTCGCTGGAAAGATATCCATACTTCGACAACTCCGTGGTTAGGCTGTTCACAGTATGCTACTGTCCAATTCACTGGACTGCTCAGCTTCACGCTTAGTAGCAGACATTCCAAACGAGTCGTCGAAAATCAGCGCATTACGAGAGCTCTACTCCCACGGCAACGTGATTGCTCTTGATGCGTGATCTACTAACCTATCCAATTTACCAAAGTCCAGAACCCCGAAGTCTGAGGACGGCAATCCTGAAGACGACTACATGACACAGATTTCTTCAGCTCTATTCATTAAATTGTTAATGAGAAAACCTCATGCTCTGCGCTCACGCCCATGGTGCAGATCACCTCTAAGCCATGAGAAGATTTATATTCCTTTCAATCCAGCATTCTAAGCTGAACAATATACACGACACTCTCACAGGGTATACGGGATACGCCCGTCAGAATTCCTCCACTGGACTCCAACACATATTGTCTTAGCAATTGAACTCCAATTACCAAAACATCACAGAGACACACCCCCAAACCCCTGATAAAATTACATCAATCTTTAATCCACGGACCACCTGTAAACATTACAATCGCGGTCTCCAAAATTCGTCAAGAATCCTTCAAACCCCGAATTATTCACAGGCTCAAAACCCGCTCACCTCCTTCAAAGAACTTGACAACCGCTCAAAAACAAACAACACATACAGAACCAAGCAAGGTACCGCGTCACTGCAATTCTACCACGTTGGATACCCGATTCGACAACAACAATCTGGCATTACGCCCGAGAAGCTCAAAAACAGTCACGGTAGCGCGCAGTCGCATCATTTCATGCAGGCGCCATCGAAAAAAGGTGACAATGAAAAGCCCGTATGATGGAGATTGTGAGGAAGGATTTGGTGTGATCGCGCCACAGCAAGGTGGCCATCAAATCGGGTGGCGATGGTGCCGAATTCAAACCTCAAGTGGCGCGTATCCGATATTTTACGACTGCAGAGTTGATTCTCGTGCAACGCTTGAATCGAAACACTGCTGCTTGAACGCTCTTGAACCAGTCTCCCCGGCGCTTCTCCACGAAAGTTAATTTATTAACTTTCATTAAGACTGTGTGTGTGTTTATATATATATATATATATATATGTGTGTGTGTGTGTGTGTGTGTGTGTGTAATTACGCTCCTTTTGATCAAAAAATCGTTTAAGAAGAAGTGGAAATGGAACATAAAGTGTGACTTGGTTTTACAATATTAGAAGACTAGAGACTTATGTTTATATTCACCTGTATTGTAGTGAAACAATAAGGATCTCTTGTTAAGGATGAAGTGCATTGTGACAAATTAGATGATTTCTTTTATAAGCTAGAATAATTACTACATTTAGAATATTATTGATAACTAATTTTTACATTTCTTTAATGAAATAACACTAATTGAAAATTAATATTAGATTTTTGAGTGGAACTTTATATTTATTTTGTTTGAGAGGGGAAGAAATTATGACATTGATATAAAGACATGTTTGTATCCTGAATAATTAATGTTTAATAACAAAACATATATAAAGGCTAATGTTAATATATATTTCTTCATTGTGTGCAACCTTCACCTTCCTTAAATTCAGTTAACATTTAGGAAATTTAGGAATTACTTTACACTGTTATTAAATGCATGTTTAATAGAGTTTTAACTGTACCTATTATATTATGGGCTGTGTGAAATTTATCCTCTTTGTAACTTTCTCTAGCTACACATTTGAATCATATTCACTTGATAACAATCATTTTATATTTTTTTAAATATCATCACAAGTTTTTGCAACATAATTTAATCTATTTCTCCCTGAAATTTTGAAACGAAAATAAATATAAATAATTGACATCAGGTAATTATAACCATCCCACTAAAGGTAACTTGTACATAATCTTTGGGATACATACATTTAAAGTTAAAACTATTCCAAAATAAATATTAAAACATAAAAATATAAAAAAAGAATGTGTCAACACAATGCAACTTTCACTCTTTTATTGAGAAGAGAGAATGTTTGTGTACGAGGTTCTGTACAATAAATAAACTCTTTATCTACGATATCGAAATAGAGGGATTTCATCCATCACGAATGATGCGGAGGATGAACAGATCGAGGGTTTCGGACAACGGAAGTGACTAGGAAGCTACTCAGAGGCATCTTCTTCAAATGGGTCGCATCGTTCATGGCCACGTTTGAAAATGCCCCAAAAACGACCTCGTTTGTCGCAGCCTCATGGACGAAGCCTTGCAGTGTCGCGGGAAGATTAACCCTGGGCACTTTGTGTTGCAAAAAGCTCAATTGTGACGGAATGATAGTGAGTAATCCAATTTTGCATCAGCGAAGCATAGAATCCGATTCTGCTCTCTGTTGAGCGAAAGATGTGCAAAGACCCATAATTTTTGTGTTGGGCGAGGATGAATTCTGGAGTTCAGATGATGCTTCCTTTGTACTGTGTTGTGGTAGGATGTACCATAAATGGCTGCGATCTATCTGATGTTCTTAATGATGTAGCATACAAAACAGTCGACTCCATCCCCATGTATTCAGAATCTGAAAGTCGCGGATGATCGTTCCTGTTGATGTCGACTAAGTGGCCATGTAACATTAGAGAGGAGCTGCAACAGATCGCCAGCGGTGTCTGGCAAGAATTTGCGTGCGAATAGAAAGCAAGGCCGCTGTTGTCCGCCCCACAGACATGGCTTCACTGTTCTAATACCCTGCAATAGCATGGATTTAAGGTCCACAGCAAAACCCACGGACCGCAGATGTAATAACTCAAGACTCACGTAGTATACGCAGCATGTGAACTGAATTATACTAAGCTCAACCTCACCGCAACTGCACAATAAAAGCGACTCGGACTCATGGGTTCACTTACCAGGCTATCACTAGTCTCGTGCACGTGTTCCTTGATGTTCTGTAGAAGCACAAGTTATTGGTCAGCAATGTAGAGGGTCAAGACGTTTCTTCACGAGGTGTCATATCAGATCTTAAAGACTCTTCAGTACGGGGGAAAAGCGCAAAGCATAATATGCTGCTTCAGCTTGCGTGAGACGAATACGATGATGCAGAGAAGGGGAAAACATCTCGGTGACGGAACATGCTTCAAAACTCAAATGTTACCTGTATAAGCTGTAATCTTTCAAATGTAATATCATTTTTTGTATAGGTCTTTGGATGCCACCTCCTTTCAGACCAGTCCACATAAGTCACAGTCCAATTTGCCAGGTTTGCTGGATTCATTATCTGCAAGCAATCATTCAGTTGTTCTTCTGCAGATAACGCGGCAAATGCAAAAATATCTTCTCCCTCAAACTTTCACCTTCATCATATTTTTGAACCATGAACATACCATTAGAACAAGTACAATATCTTACATCTGATATCGCTCAGGTACATAGGAATCTTCACACAAATATCACCATGAGTGAATACCGATTACAATGCAACTATTTCGAAGACGGCAAAGAGGGAAGCACGTACATGTAGAAACGTTGAGATGTAATGTTCATCGGGATAACAATTTCGATTCTCTGGGCCAGGCTACAGAAAAGTAACACGAAGCTGTCAGCTGTTGCACACATCAGGGCCTTGAAATCTTTACTTCAATTCCTATACTTGTGAGGGCCGTAGATTCGCGCATCACAGGATCATACTACAATTCCGATAGCAAAAGGAAACGATTTTTTAAAACTAGGAGCATATTTCCACCCAAACAAATGGGATCAAGTGTAAGATACTTCAGATTTTGTCTGTACAGTGATTAGTTTGAAACTTGCACCCAAATGTGACTTCAACGAGAAAGTATACAAGCATTGTGAGTTTTACCTTGCAGTTCAACTTGAACTTGCTGTAATATAGGTGATCAGCCACTATCATCAAAGCATGATACCGGGTCACAGCAAACCACTGCAATGTAACAACAAAAATCAGCTCCTAAGAAGCTAAAAAAATCACGATCCCCCCGAAGCTAAAAAAATCATTCTGCACTTGCATACACCACGAAAGGATTTCCCTACAATCATCACCTGTGCTCCTTTCCTCCAGTCACTCCTCCTAACTTCTGGCATCATCTGATCCATGTAGCGCCCTTGCCCATGGGGTCCCGGATCTTCAAAACTGGCAGAAACTCGAGGAATTAGAGCCGTCTTCCTTGCCTAGAATGGTTGAAAGCACACTTCTTCATAATTTGGGACCCAAGGTCATAAAAGATGGAGAAATGTAAAATATACATTGATCTTGAAAGTATCAAAGCATTTGTCCAGTTCAGAGAGCCAGGTATAATATCGACATGCACTAGCATTTGGAACTTAGTTTTCTAAACAAGAACTAACCAAACGTGTAAAGTAAGCATAGAGGAGATTGAAAAAACAGAGAAACACCATATTGATTAGTCATCAATGCTATTAAATTTTTTTCATCCTCATCACTTACCAATCCACGTAGCTCATGTTTCCACCCAGAAGATACTCATACACGTAGTCAAAGGGATAAAGAGGAATACACCTGCCAATTGTACAACCCTAACAACGTCAGTCTCTTACCTGGACCTGGACAAATACCGAAAAGTTAAGCATTTAAAGAGAAAGTGAAGTAATTTACGAGTCTGATAATAAGGCGAAGTATTGATTGTCCAGATCCAAAAGAGCATTGGCAAGCAGTCGCCTCTCAGCATCCACCATTTCGATTCGACCCCAAAATACCTACGAATTCCAGACAAGTCATTCAATCAAGATATCCAGGTCACTTCGCAGTTCACACGGAAATAAATCGGGTTTCTCTATGACAGTAGGTTAGTATGTCCCGCCCTCGAGTGACTTCTAAACTAACTCTTTCAATTGGCCATGGAACTCACTCTTGCTGCAGGTTTAGAATGAAAGAGGTAAGGAACAACTCGTTCACAGAAAAACACCTTCTGGGGTCGTATGTCTCGCCCTTGAAACATGCTGGTATTTCGAGCAGGTTGTTCTCGAGAAGAATGTACGTAAATCAAGTATTTTCCTTCATGGCCCTGCTAAAAAGTAAAATCAGCTTTTAACACTGCGTTGGCAACTAGAAAGGTTCACACCACATCGTTACATTACAATGACTAGTCACGATATTCGTAAGTACTAACCTTAAAAAATTCTTCCCAGATCTTCTCAAATGGCAAAGGTCCCCCTGTCAAGAACATGAATGCTACTTTGGCATTTCCAACGGGATCCTTCGCTCGGGATAGTATATCTTTCGCCAGCACAAACGTTGAGAGCTCTGCATCAGTGTAGTTTCGAATGGGCGGGAGAATCGGAATAGGAACATGATTCGGGAACGAGGTGTTCTGTTTGGAGGGGGGAGCAGAGTGAGACGAGTAGCCTTTAGGATGCGGGGAAGGGCTGGGAAGCATTTGGCACAAGTCCCCCTTCAAGTAATCATTGTAGACACGGTCCCCCAAATTCGCTATTGTTGCCCAACTCAGAAAAAATAGAAACAAGAGCGACATAATGCCTGCGGCCCATAAAGACCTCCTTTTAGACATCTTTCCTCGCCAAACTCCCATTGTGCTAGAATGATGGCTCTTTCCTTCCACAGAAGACGACCATAACTTCACCATTCTCCTAATACATGATCAAGAAACAAGGATAAGGACTTGCGCGCAGGAGATTCATCGACTCACGGTGGCAAGAAATTCCATGGAACAGGTCAATAGGTATTCGTTGAAGAAGGGTGACCGCTTCCACTTAAACGCAACCAGAGGTGGAGCTTCGTATAAGCATGTCCTTAACAATTTCAGATCTAAGCACAACGACTGCGCCGCATCGATCTTTTGGAAGGCACAGGCATCGAAAGGCTGTGAAATTGAATGGCGACACTCGGGGGAGGACAGTTTTTGAGTGAAGGGCCTTCAACTCAGAAGCTGGTTGATACCCGCAGTTTATAACACTATCGTATGGATAATTTCGGAATAGCAAACTTTTTCTTCTGAAGTTGACGGATGAAAACGAATTGAAGTGCTTCGGACAATCAACTTAAATCTAAAAGAGCTGCGATTATGGAAGATTACCGACAAATCCATCGTTAATCTTCAATTTTCCACTTCCAAGGAGTGCAAGGTTGAGATGGAGTCCTCTACTTTGTAAAAGGTTGTGATACAGAGCGTAAGTCATTCATGTTCAAGTTGACCCTGAAAGAGATCGTTGAAGAGAGTAGTGTGGTCTTTATTTCTTTCCTCGTCAACTCTTACGTAACATATCTTTAGAAATGGCTGACGTATGAACCCTCTCGCTTTGCAATACGACGGCGAAACCTCTGAGAACGCGCAAACTATTAAACAAAACGGAAAAGAGATGCATTTTCTAAAACTAGAAGCAGGTGAACAACTTGCAATGTGGTGGGAGATTTTCTGGCATCTCGATTAGGACGACTTCGACTGTTCACAACCACTCGGACTAATCTCTTAGGGCCACAGAAATTACCTGCGGAAGTGAGCATTTGAATTATGATGCCTACGGCGTTTTGGCAACGACCATCCGGGCTTACGGAGAGCTTAGAAAGCGTTCATATTTCCCCTGGTCCAACACACAGACACCAGCAAATGACTTCCTTCTTTCGGTAAAGAAACGCAGAGCCTCATCGGGAATCTGTCGTTGCGTTAACTTCGATTAAGATGCCAGCGTAGTTCAGGACACATGAAGTGTAGCGACTTCAATCAGAAATTGAAACATATCAGCACACTACTTCGCACCTAGAAGACGTTGCAGCCAGAATAGCACCAGGTCAGCTGGTTACCAATGATCTCTCAGGCCTCTCCTCACCCACATGCATTCTCAAAGCTCTCTGCAGCTCTGCTTTCAAGTGTACAAACTACTGCCCTCACAAACCTACAGTTGCAGCCGAGCCCTTCGTCCTCACCACCCCATCTTTACGTCACTGGACAGCCGGCGGTAAAATCTGCTTTCAACCCCACACAATCTCCAGGAATTGTCTACCACGACAAAATATCCATTTCCCAACACAATTCTCCACGATTGCGGAACCCCAAAAGTGGCCGTCCCCAGGTCAGACTTCCCTCCAGCTCAAACTCCAACGCTGTTGGACATCAACCGATTCCGCAGTTCCCCCCAAATATCCAAACCGAAACCACCTCGCCCGACCCTTCAGAAAGCACTGCGTCCCATGCCAGGCTCAGTGATGGGTGGAGCGCGAAGCGTGTAGTTCATGAACCAAGGCCGCCTTCACATGGCGGAAAAGGACCGCACCTATGAGAGTGTGTTACTCAAGAATCACCAGGGCATCCAATCATACGATACGTTACAGGACCTCACACCATCCATCACTGCTGCAAGGGAGGGACGGCCATGTGGAAGCAGCGAGAGGTACAACTTCGAAACAATCTAGCAAGCATGAAGTATTTTTTCTAAAATTATGAAGAAAAAAAGCGCATGGAAAATCACAGAGGGAGTTAGACCCAGCAAATTCCCCATAGAGTGAAGACGAACCCACTGGAAAGAGCTCGCGAGTTCCTGCGCAACTGGCAATCGTACACTCACTCCCAGCCCCCCACACACTCTCACACACACGCAACAATCGCCACCACTTCCGCCGCCGCTGCTCAGAGCACGACAGCAACACACGGATCGACAGCAGTTTCACTGCGGCACCCACACACACTCGCACAGAGAAAGAGAGATCCTTCTAATTCCTCTTCGTCTTCGTTGCTCCTCTCGTTCGTCCACCTCCTCCTCTCTCGCCCCCGCCACTTTTTGGCCAAGAGTGACGTCGCCGTGAACACGTGACTCCGCCTCCGCGCTTTATCACTTGTCCCCACCTGCCGCCACCTGACGCTGCCTGTCGCGATCTACCGCCTTTGACGCTGTTTAACGCCCGCTTAACGGTTTCATGCCACGACGTGACCCCCCCCCCCAACTTGTCAGTTTGCATGATGCTGCTCTACATTCCATTGTTTTGTTCATGCCCTACTTTTTGGACCAAAACATCAAAAATTGATTGTTAGATTATTAAAACTTGCTATTCTAGTTAATGTCACCCCTCATAAAATAACGCTCAGGTAATTGGATGTAAATTTTATACTCATATTGTATTCCTTTTTACTATTTACATGGGAATTGTTAAATTGACCCAAGTATTTAATTGATGATAGTTAGGATGGATGGGTCAACTTAGCAATTAAATGGTACATAGGGAATTGCTAAATTGACCCACCCATCCTAATCATCATCAAAAAGTTCTCCATTGTTAGAACTACATTGCTAGATCCACATTGGTTGAAAACTAATGAAAAAAATGATTGAATCCTCAACCAATGATGATGGATGGGTCAATTTATTAAATGTGTGGGTCAATTTAACAATTCCATGTATATATATATATATATATATATATATACATATATATACATACATAAATTAAGCTGTGCAAAACAAAAAAATATAATTTAATTTTAAAATGAGGACTTGGAAAACTCATGATTTCATTTATGTCTAATGTTCATGTAAAAGCATGATATGAAAGTCAAACAAACATATAAAAATAAAAATAAAGTCATTACAAATAAACTTTGTTATTCTTCAATTATGACTTCATTTAAAGTCAAATAGACGTTATTTTATAAATGAAAATCAAACAGACATAACATTTCAAATAAAATCTAGTATTTGTTACATGAGCTTCTAAAAGACATTATTCTAGAGTCTATGTAATTTTAATCTAAATGTTGTTATTTGTTGATTTTTAAGTATTCTATTATTGTTTTATTGCAATATTTAGAGAAATAGCAAACAATAAGAAATTTATTCATCTATAAGTTCACAAGCAAATTGCAGTAGTAGCAAAATTCAACTATATTATATTACAGCAAGAAGATCACATACACATGCTAAGATATATAAAAACTTGCTAGACTAAAGACGTACAAGAGTTGAATAAGACTTGAGAGGAATAAAACTGACTTCTCCCTTCTTTAGTTAGTTTACTTATAAATTTGTATCCTTGTTATTAAATTTTGATACTTTTCACATGAAGTACCAAATAATAATAATAATAATAATAATAATAATTTATTACAAAATAAATTATCTAAAATTATATACATTATTAGCAAAAAATCTTGAAATGTTTTAAAATTTGCTTCATATTTCTTAAAACGTTTGCAATATAGAAGAATGGTGTAGAATTTAAATTTATATAACAAAAATAGTAGTATATCATTAAATATATTTAAGTACAGAATGTTTTTATTTAATCAAATAAGTTGCATGATAACATCAAACTAATATGAGAACCTAATATATAATTATAATTTTGAGTTGATACAAATTCATTTGTAATTTTTATGTGATATTGTATTCTATTTTATTATATTTTAAAACCTAAAATATTATACAAGTGTATATTAAAAATTATTTTGTATTAAATACTTTTAAAAAGTATCTATAATTCTATAATCTGAATAACATAAAATTGATCCAGTATTTAAAATTCTTACTGTTTATAATATTATTACTTTTAGTTTATGTTACCAAAATTGTTTCTCATGGTTTTATAATTTTAGTATAGTTCTCTGATTTTCTCTCAGAAATGGTAACACAATTTTTGTTAGTACTGAAATAAGTTTAACTTGCTACACTTTATACCGTTTATTTTTTTTTTCATGTTCAATTTTTTTTCAAAAAATAAATATAAAAAATCTATTATATGCGGTAAAAAATTGTCTCATTCGTGATCTTTTTTAGTTTATGAAAAACACGCATATTAAAAAAATAAGCTTAAATTTGTGTCGTTTTTATTATTAAAAAATATTTTAAGATTAATATTGAAAAAAAATGATAAAAATTATTATTTTTTTTGTTTTCTTTTTTGTTTTCTTTTCTTCTCTCATCTTTTTGCAAAGTAAATGAATGTTAAAAGAAAATACTTTATTCATTCTTCTTCTTTCTTGCTAAATACAAGAATATTAATTACAATTCTCTTTTCGTTTTTCTTGTAACGTCTTGAAAATTCCCACTTCAAAATGCCGTTCGAATAAAATCAAGCAATGATGAGCAAAGATCTCAAACCATTCAAACGACTGATGATTCTGTTATAAACGAAGCACAAATAGTACTGGCCATTAATTTCCCACTCTCACTTTCGCAATCATTGAAACGTTACTTTCAAAACCTTTTCAAAAATAAATACTAAAAAACAAAAGTAAAAAAAAAAATTAAAAAAAAAAACAGAACAAACTTATCATCATCTTCTCCTTCCCCAGTAAATAACTAGCTTGTTCGTCTTCATGTTTGTTTGATTGTGTTTGTTGGGTTTGTCGGTAGATTTGTTGTTGGCTTCGTAGTCCGTTTGCTCTGGTCCTATAGCCAGAGATGGACAAGCAGCCATGAAATATCTTCAGCTTGAACCCACTCACCCACCTCGCAAAGCTCATTCTGAGCGTGGAAGAATTTTTGTTTCATTTGGTGCCCAGCTCGATGTTAAGGCGAGGTTTTGTTATGCTCTTGTCGTGAATTTGTTGGGTTTGAAGGTGAATTGCACTGTGGTTTCCTGTGGCAGTGTGGTTCCTGAACTGGATCTGGGCTTTGGGTTGTCGCACGCCATGCGCTTGGTTGTGCGGATGGGTTTTTTGTTGCCTGTTCTTCTGATGTTGATGAATAGGTAATTTTCCTTTGTATGTTGGTTTATTTGTTTGGTAAAATATTATTGGGTTTGATCTTACAGTAGGCGAGATTCGATTTATATATCGTAACGTGAAAGTAAGTTGGGTTTTTGTACATGTGCCTTGCCTTAGAAGCAAGTTAATTCGCTGTCATTCTGCTGCTTTCTTCCCCACAGCGTACCTATTCCCCTTGACATATGATTAAACATTCTGCTGCGACAAATGCATATTTCGAATATTTATCTTCATCTCATTGAACATAGGGAAACGTAACTTGGTTTTCTCACGAGCCCAGCATTCTTAAATTGTGCGTCTCACCGTTAGAAAGTATTGGGGTATTTCTGACAGCCAGTGCCAGCCCAAGCTTAGACCTACTGTTGATTCTATTTTTTGTGGGTTTGTCGAAGCACTTTTTCGGGTGCCCGTTTTACTGTGTGTGTGTGTCGCCTGTCATCCGCTAGCGCCTCAAATTTGGCATTCTTGGAATTTGTGTAAGTGGACCAAGTTGTTGGTGGCATTGCAGTGGCATCTTCCCAACAATAAGAAGAAAAAGAAATTCATGCGAGTGGGACTATAAGAGAGAATAAGAGTACTTCATTGGTTCACAGTATTGGTCTAAGAAGTTAGTAATGAACAACGATGATGTGGTGTCTAAGTGGATAACTTCTAAGAGTGATGAACCTCGAATGGGTTAGATAGCTATGCCAATTTCTGGTAATGGTTTGTAGAAAGTTTACTAATTTCCTGTTGAGTGAGGTATTTATGGGATCCAATGTCAAACAAGCCCTGCAGTTAGTGTTGTTGTTGTGTTTTTCTTTTTTTTCTTATTTTCCTCTACCATCGTGGAACGGTTTTGGTTCCTTTCAAATGTATTACTTACCTTCTTCTGGCTGGGTGTAAGAATGAATTATTACGAAAGATCCGAGTGTAACACTTGCCGTCTTTTTCCTAGATTGGCGACCTTGAAAGAGATTAGAAATCTTAATCTCTCTGGAATCCATTTCAATGAACATTGTACCATAAACTGGTTTCGTAGACATACACTCGCATCTCAAGTTTAACTGTCACGAACTTGAGTTTATCACAGTATAAAGGAGATAAATTTTGCCTGCTGATGTCATATATTCGACGTAAGCTAACGATGCTTCGTGGTTGCCTTCGTAGGTCTCCAACAGAACATACTTAAAAGATTGCTGCATTATTGAACATGAGATGTTCACGATCCATTATCCTCTCTGGGGCACTGTCAGCTATCAAAATTTTGACCATGAGAACTCAGTGCTCTGTAGCTTAGAATGTCACTGTTATATTAGTGTCAGCGTTGGGAAGAATTTCGGGTTCAACGAGGCTTGTTCAAGATGAAATTCAGGAGAGGTTCAAGCAGTCAGACTTTTCTGAAGTGTCAGATGAAGCGCCTAAATTACAAAATCTTAAAAATCTGACAATGCTTTCAAGGACCGCAGGTTGAGTGCTATAATTGATGTCACGATGTCGTTAGCAGAAATTGAAAGACACGCACGTTTTATCAACTGCACTTGGCTTAATTATTCTCAATAAGATAAACAAAAATGGTGTCAACTGACTCGCAATCGTGTTTTCCTCGCTTGGACGATTTTCATCTTCACACTAAATGTAATGTACTGAAGGTTTCATGTTTGTTGGACAGCATCGTATTAGAAGTCTCGTTCTGAAGCAGAGTTGACTGGTTCAGTATTATTTTATTTTTTATTTTATTTCGTTTGTTTGCTTGTTTTGTTTTTTTTGTGTGTACCGTGTTTTGCTGTGATTATTGTTATTTGGTGATGGTGATAACAGGACACTGCAACTTTTTTTGAACTCCAGCTTCTATGCATTGCATATTCAGCTGATCCTGGTCTTATTCCCCAAAAGGAGCCTTCAGGGGTGAGTTGATCGAGTTATCCAAGCTTTGTGTCCTTGCTCGAATTGATTATTTTTATTTTACTACATTGACAACTTGTTTCTGCTTCAAAGTAAGTTGTAGTACTTAGGTTTGGAGTTCAAAGTGTGAGCTGATAGAAGAACATGTCACCACTTGAGGCATGTCAAGGCAAAGGAAAGCTGGGAGCATATTTCTCCTTGTTAATCACAAGTTCTGGTTGTTTCATGGAACACAGGTGCAGGTTGAGGATTACATACTTCCGCAGAAGAAGAATTCAGTTCGCCGCCTTGTTCCAGATCCTGTACCCCCTTATACCTTGAGGTGTTTTTCACTACACCTGAATTGTAAACATGGAAGTTGATAAACTAGGGGCTTTGCGCATATCTAACTACAACTAAAATAGCAAAGAACTTTGGCTGTTTCAGTTGAATGTATCTCTTTTTCTGTGGACTTGTGCAGTCATTCAGATAGACCTTCTTGGCAAAATGGTGGACAACTGCAAGTATTGTAGAAATTTTCATTCCACCGTCCACGAATTTAATTGTATTTGTTCGGCAGTTTCCATTGAGTTGTGCTTTTGTATGCTTTTCAAGTGAGGCAAAAGGTTTTTATATATTTTACAGCTCGGAGCACGCAAACACCCTCATGGGTGGGCGGTCGGTGCCATTTGTGGGACTCTCAGTATGTACCCCCGTTGCAGTAATAGAACTTCAGCTTCTGGTATTGAGAGTAACACGTTCTGTTGCGACTGTTGAAGGTTTTATTTTTAAATGTTAAATAACAACAACAATATTTGTAGTGAACTCTCACTTGTACTCTTCATTGTAATCTAGAAGTTTTCTATTGCGTTAGAGTATATCCTTCTCAAGACATTTACATAGATACTCAACAGAGTCCCTGCAAGTATTCCATGAATCGGTGCAGAATGCTTGTGATATACACCTCTGTATACCTAGCAAGGGACAGACACAGGGAAGACTATTTTCATTATCACCTGCACAGTTGAGTTGTTTCGGTTTTTTTCTGTGTGCAAGTTACGTAACTACACCAATTGCCAGTGGTTGTCAGCTCTAAGTGAGAGTTTGTTGATTACCATTTTGCAGGTATCAAACTCCAGTCAAACTTCCAATCAAGTTCATAAAGTTTTTTAAATTTCTATTCTTTTCTTCTAATCCTTTCCATATTGCAATTTAAACCATTTAAAAAGAAGCTATGATTGATGTAAATCATTTCTGTTTGCTAAAGCAATGCATGTTAAGACATGAAATATTTAAAATTATGTTACATCTAATACTATATTTATTATATTTATCTTGGTTTTAGAATATTAATTAGAAATATTTCTAAGTTTTTTGGATATATTGTAATTGAATTAGAATTATTTGATTACTTATTAGATATCTTCTTAAAACATCCATTGTTCAAATAATATTTAAGGTTGTCTATCATTTATTATTCAATTGTTAGTTTTAAAACAATGATGTGTTGTTATAAGTTCAAGTCCAACATATCTTTGAAACCTTTTCGAATGATACTAAAAAGTCATATTTTCTTATATAACACCATCTTTTTATGATGGCAAAGGAATCAAATATTAATTTTTGATCTAAATATTTGATTGATTGCCATGTGTACTCTTAGACTATAAGATTGGCTTATAGCAATATCCTAGAAGTTTGATTGAGGCTAATAATTGACTTTAATGAAATAGTGTCAAATTCTAGTACCATATTTGTGTTGTTAAAGAATTTAGTTGTGTAATTTTTTAATGTTAAAAGTACTACAAAAGGTGAGTATTGCTATCAAAGAAATACCATGTTAATCAATAGATTCTTTCTATAGATTTGCAAGAATATTATAACAATAAAGAGAGTATATGGTACCGAGGGATCTAATTGAGAATTTGGATTCTTTAAGTAGTTTTACAATAAAATCCAAAGTTTATTATTTATTAAGTAGAAATGCCATAATTTATTATATTTTAGAGTTTTGATAGATTACCCTTTGGAGACATGAAGTGTTATAAGATCTTTTGATAAAGGATAATTAAAAGATGTGCAAATACCTATAGTCAATGGATGTAGAATATTTCAAAGATTTGAATTCATGTTATATTATCAACTATACTTTTTAAACAAACATTAACTTCAAGAATATATAAATAACAAAGGACTTCAATTTTTAGAAGAATAGCATTATTAAATAGATGTAAAAATTGAACAAATTTTTATTAAAGATATGAATTTCAAAGAACTAAAAGATCAATAAATTCTTATATGACTCAAATAAACTAAAAAATCACTGAAAGATGATATAATATTAAACTAGAATAGCTATTGTTAAAGATAGAAGACTAAAAAGTCTCAAAATAAGAATAAAGACTAAAAATATATTGATAAGAATAAAGAAGGCTTTACTCTTATCTCTATATATATTATTTAACTACAAGCTATATGACAATGTTCTATAAGACTTCTAATAAGTGTTCAATTTACGAGACATGTGACTTAACTTGTAAGAGAAGTTTTCTATATATATACCACCTTGTTAACTTATACTACAAGCTATATGACAATGTTCTATAAGACTTCTAATAAGTGTTCAATTTACGAGACATGTGACTTAACTTGTAAGAGAAGTTTTCTATATATATACCACCTTGTTAACTTATACTACAAGCTATCCACATATATGACATATGGCTAACTTGATGACCAAGTTTTTAACCTACCAATCAATTAAAAATATGTATAAAGTCAAATATGTATTTTTAAAACTTTTAAGAAGCTTTGCCATAAGATAATATAAAATCTATATGTATTTAATTTCTATCTAATATTTCTCATCTAGATAAATATGCATGTTTATTATATTGTCATTTTTTCTAAAAATAAATTATATAAAGAGTAGTCATAATATGTTGAAGAAGTTTAAGATGCAGCAAGTTTTGTTAGCTATATACTTTGATCTTTGTTCTCTCAAATCTTTGAAGGTATTTGACGACCTATCAAATCTTTACAAATCTTAATCTTAATCACTAAGCTTTAGCAAGCTGTATCTCTTAATCTAACTATTCGTTTAGAATAATTTTTTTTTATAAAAATGCCACTATAAATCTTCTATATCTTCAAAAATAATTCACTCCAATCCAACTTATAAATCATAAAAAAACGCCCAAAAATCACATTGATGTTATTTGGCTGCCAACTTAAAAGTTGATGCAAATGTTCTAGTAGTGATTTCTTCTTTTCCAATCATTAACTTCAATTCAAAATTGGTATGTAGATTGATCTTCAAGTCTTCTAATACCATGTTAACTTTCACATCAACCCAATTAGTAGATCTTTAGATATCATAGAAATCCTACTCAGCCCCAAACTACCAACTTCCAATACCTTCTTGTACCAAAATCCAAATATCTTCCAACTTCATTGTTAGGTTATTATAAATTTTTACATACACTTAGCACAGCCAATTAACCAAGTACTACCATATTTTGAATCATAGATGTGACACTAATTTCATGAACTAGCTGAGAGTGCTAGTCCTAATTGTATTGCATAAATTTGAAGTTGCCAATACAAACTTTGATTTTGAACAACAATTGCAAAGTCAAATCTAACCTTACAAAAATAATCCTTATGTCATTAAAAGAAGCTCTAAGCTACCTCTGCAATCCTAATTATTGATCTTTGGATGCCTCCCTATTTTTTCCTAGGTGATTATTTTAATAGCTAGAGGTCTAATTTCAATCCTATCTCACAAACGGTCGACCCCTTGGTATCAATCTAATCTATCATAGGAATTTTTTAGTCCAACTCCACCTTCAATTTAATCTTAATATCAACCATACTACTTATTTACTTCTTTTAGTTTGATTTTACTAATTTATGGTCTTTCAAAGCAAAAAAATAGTCTCTATAGTCTAGAAGGTAAAATTACTAATCAACCTTTAATCTACTAACTATTAAGACAAGAAAATAAACTAAGAGATTTTTTATAAAAGCTCTGTTTAAAAATCTTAAATTATTTATTAAACCAAAATAATTAGATATTAATTAAAAATTTATTTTTGATTATATTTTCATCATATTATTGTATTACATTACAACATCCACCCTCTCTAAACTTATGCATCTTTTGATATGCACCAAATGAAATATATGTCATAATTGACATTACACCATCTCTTCATTTTTTGCATGAAATCTTTCATTACTATTTTCACCATCCATTTCAAAATAATTATCTACTTTAAAAATATTGATATCTTTAACATGATCTTGTACATTGATTTCTCGATCTTGTCTTTTGAAAATCTTCACTTACTTCTCAGCAACAAGTATCTTTAACCTTATACCATCTAACTCTTTTAATAACTATGAGGCATTATCATATACCATTACTACCACATATGGTCCAAACCAATGTTTTAAAAACTTCTGCAAAGCACTATGTTGGTTATTCAAACTGTTGTCATAAATAAGTACTCAATCACCTTCTTCAATTTCTCTAGGCCTCGATTGGTGTTACTTATTAACTCAAGTCTTATTCTGTAACCTTGCTTATTGTAACTTTTTTTGATGGTAGTTTGACATCTTCTAATCTTTGTTCAAGTTGCCAAATTCTAATAGCCAACAATTCTTCTTTTCTCAACCTATCTTCTCATGGTAGTATATTTCAAGTTGACTTATGTTCTTCAATTGGCATAATTGATATTTGACTTGTCATATATCTTGTCACTAATCTTTGTATTATTCAATCAGCCTATAATGCACAAGACAGAAGTCAAGGCCATTCTCTCACTCTTCCATTGCAAGCTTTAACCATGGCTTTTACAATTTGTGGATGTCCATGTTTACTCTTTGTATTTATTTTTGGATTATAAGCAATAGTCAATGATAATTTAATTCCACATCTCTTAAAAGAATTCATGAACTTTATGTGCATCCAATTCTCCATGATCTGCATTGATCTTTCCTACACATCTGTAGCAACAAATAACATCCTCAAGTAAAAACCTACAAATTTTTTCTATGGACTTTGTTCTTAGCGCCCTGCCTTCTATTTTTTTTGATAAATCTTCATGAGTCAAAACTAAATATTTTATTTACCATAGTCTTATCAATATAATAATAAAATCTATAATCCATTTAAAATGAATAGCCAAGTGATATGTCAAATGTGAACCATCTCAATGTTGTATATTTGAATACATCTGACAAGTTACACAAGATTCTACAAATAAAGCTACATCTTGATATATATTCTTTTACCAATATTATTCCTTTAATTTAACAAAAGTAGTCCAAGTTCTTCTATACTCCACCCATAGACTATCATGAAATTTCTTAAATAGTCTTTGTTGATCTTTTTTGATATCTACTACTTATCGTAGCATTCTAATATTTGATTTTGGCCTCTTCTATAGAAATCCTCTTTGTAATATGAACCTATATATTTTTTTTGATTTTTTTAAAATTTTCAATTAATCAATTAACATGCTTGTTAATGTGCTCAAATAATATCTAATATCTATTAACTCTTCTTTATAATTTTCATTATGAAATGACTTATCTTTCTTGTTCAATTGTACAATCGAATAAAATTTTGTATCAACATCATCAATATCCTCAATCATCTCATCTTTTCTATCATATATTGCTTGAGATAACATATATTGCTTGAAATAACATATATTGGATTGTCTTTTCTTACAACATGCCTAAATTCTAGTTTTAATGACTTGATATAAATAATCCATCTTAACATTGCAATATTTGGTGGTATACAATTAATAATCATTTCAAATAAAGACAAACAATCTGTTTCAATTACCACCATTGTTGCAATCAAATAATTTTTTTCAGCTTTCATAGTTAAAACAACTCCTCATAATTTCCTATTGATTTATAAATATGGATATTAGCAAGTACTTAAAATCTTAGTTCTACATCGCATTGCAAAATTATATCCATTCAAATCATCTTGACCTACAATCCATCCAATGGTAATTCGATTAGTATCCATTATAAGATTCACTAATCTGTTGCACTTATAATCAATTTTTCTTAACATTGGAGGTGATGTCAATAATTTTTTTTAATCTTTGTATTACTTTAATATGCTTTTATTCTCATTTAAATCAATATCCCTTG